CAAAAACTCTGCTCTCGGGTATCTCTTTGTCAGCGCAAACTATAATAATCCGTAAAATAAAACTTTCTAGTTGAAAGAGCTCGAGCTCTCTCTCTCTCTGTCACCCACACTCGCCGAGTGTGGGGAGTGCGGCATGTGGCAGCGTTTGGGTCCGTGCTGCCCAAGTATGCAATAAAATAAAATATTTATTCATGCATGCGCATGCAAACAAGTGCGCGGCAAATTTCGCCTGAATTTTATTTTATTTCTATGGAATAAAACCCCAAATAAAATAAACCCCCGAAGCAAGTGCTTGCTTTGTGGCAGTGCCGGCATTTCGGAAGGCACTCTATAAAGAATTTTTCGAAACTTGGGTTAAATTTACCGACGGAAATTGAGCAAACGCCAAGAGATTTAAGGTTTAGAGAAACAAGAAAGAAAAGTTGAGTTTGCGGGCTTAAAGACTTAGCATGAAGCATGATCAACTCAGTACTGCTATGCCCCTATAGTTCGCTGATTGAATATGGTAATTATACATTAATGATTTATAAAAGTGTAGCAAAAAAAGCATACAAATTAAACCAAACGTTTCGGTCTACAACCAGAAAGCCCATTTGCCTTTCTCCGTTTCTTTTATTCAGCATTTAATTCAAAACTTTTTCCTCTGGCCCATAAACAATTTATTTAAAATTAAAAAATAAAATAACACCCCAAAAGCTTTGTTTTTGTAACAAAACTTTTCCTCCCTCAAGCGACAAGTGAATTTTGTTCAATGTGCTGTTGATTGATTTACAATTTTCCCCAGTGCATGTATTTTCATTTCCTTTTTGGGGGCCTCGGGGGATAAACATTTGTCATCGGTTTATAGCAATAAAAGATTAAATGAATAGTGAAACGATTCCAAATAATAAAAGTAGTAACAACCAAACCGAAAACAAAATAAAATAACATTTATATAGATTTGTTTGTTTAATGTTTTTGGGGTTATCATGTGGTGGCCGGCCGGCATTCAAAAGATTTGCATAGAGCAATTAAAAATATAGAAACCGAAGCCTGAAGGCAGCTGCTGGATGAAAATGAATTTCAATTAAATGAAAACCCCAATGAAAATCTCCAAAAATATAAGTGTCCGGTTAGCCATCGAGATGGAAAGTTTAAATTCAATAAAACGAAAGTTTTGGCTTGGAAATAAATTGCTCAACATTTTGTTTCCACTTAAACATACAGCAGCCATGCGTGGAGCGAGGGCGTTCACTGAAAAGTGCACAACTTGCTTTAAAAAAAATGCAGCTAACTTGAGTTTAAAAGAAGATGGAAGCCAAATCCTCTGCCTCAATAATTGTCTGGAGATGTAGCGGTTCCATCGCCTCCTCCTTCATGGACCACTGTCTGAGTGCGTTCGATGATGAGCCAATGACCATGAACTTATGGATATCTTGCGGTTAAATCTTGTTTCTTTATCCACTTTCTCTTCTCTCCTTTCTCTTTCTCTACGTGTTTGTGTGTGTGTGATTGGCAAATATTTTTGCTTGCTTGGAAAATATTTGTGCCAGTAGAAGAGAATGGCAATGGGTATGATTTTCTAGCTGAAAATTGTGAACTGCAAGCAGCCGCAGGCGAACAAAATGTGCAGCATATTAAACACTTTCCCCACACAGTGTCCCAGACTTGATTTTCCATGGAGTCATTGAACCGAAAAGGGCATTAAGCTGCCAATTTGCATGACAGACCTCCAGCCACTGAGTGATGCAAATGGAAATGGGATTGCCGTATGCATGAGGTGACCCAGCAGCAGGGTCTGAATAAACGAAAGTGGACAGAATCCTGTCTTAAAGTATACAGTTTATAAAGGATTCACTGACCATATAATAGAGTTTAAGGTAAGAAAGGAAAACTTACATTTCACACAGATTTTCATGTTTATTTTCCGTTTAATAATAATAATTTAATTTCTTAATCATTTATGTACCTTTTCAAGGCAAATTATGTAAATCAAGTACTTCAGTTACACCACTACATGGTTGATTCCTTTCATGCTGTCTTATCTGGCAACGCAACAGAAAATTGAGGCTAGGAGCAACAGCAGCACTACCATTATGCCTTTTCTACAAATTTTTCTTTCATCACTTTTAATGTACTAGTATTTATCACTTAACAATCCTTCAGTTTAAGCTCAGAGCTGTCTTTAATTATCACCAACAATAAAGGCTCGCCAGAAATAAAAACTAATTGTTGCTCCGAGCAGGAGCGTGGCCAGACTGCATCTAAAATAATACAGCGACTCAACGACTGCTGGTGCAGTTGCTCCTCATGGAGGTTCTTGCCATTGGCGTATTGTAAATTTTAATGACCGCGACAAAGGGTTAAGGATGGGGCCAGAACTGCTACCCAGTGCCGCGACTCTGCAATGAGCAAAAAAATTCAACAATGACAAACAAGCAACAACAAAAAAACTGGCGAAAATAAAACCAGAGTGAACATAAAATATTCCATAATAATGCATAAAATAAAGGAAATGGGGCCTCGGTAGTCGAGACTCGAAAAGAATTGAGTTCTCTCCGCATAAAATTCACACGAAACACGGAACGGAGTCGACTGGAGCGGAGCGGAGTGGAGTGTGGTTCTCCATAAAATAACTGTGAGTGTTGTGGGGTGGGGTGGGTGAATACACAAATACGGAGGAGGAGACGGAGAACCACGGATATTGTCAACGACATTTCTTGTGGATATTTTGGGCTGTTGCTGCTGGGGCTGCAGCGTACTTTTTATCAACTTTAAATCCGCAAAATGAGTTTTTCTTGTGGATTTGCATAGATTAAACTGCAATGGCTCTACTCTCTACTATCCTCTACCATAAGTATACACAACACCAGAATATCTATGTACTTATATACCTAATATTTTTCGGTGCCGGACACTGGTCGTTGTTCAGATTTCGTTGATGGTTGTTGGCTACCTCGTTATGGGTTGTTTGGCAAGTATTTGTTAAGCCAAAATCACTGGCTCGTGTCCCATTTGCCTTTTTTTTTTTGTATTTTTTGGGGTTCTGTTGAACTTCTGGCCAACATTTTGCTGTTGGCTTTCGGTCTTTTGTCATCGATTTTGTGGTTCAACTGCGTTTTGTGGCCATTCCTGTCGGCCATTCCCCTCTACGCTACGATTTCTTTAGTTTTTGGCGGTACTTTTGTTTTGTTTTTTTCGGGGCTCGGGCCAAAGTTTTTGTGTCGCTTGAAAACTCATTTAAAGTTTGGAAAGTGTTGATAGATGACTGCCAGCCAGTCAGCCACGCCCCTGTGGGCGCACCCTGTCTTAGATGTTTCCCATGCCGACCATTTTGGCCCTGTTCTGTTGTGACTAAGGCTGTTTTCATTAGCCCAGTCCCGACCCTCGAGGATTAGCTTGACACGTGACGCACTTCAGCTTTGGGACTCAGCTCCCTTGCCTTACCCCCAAAAAAATATAAAATAAAACATCAAAAAAAAAAGAGACAAAAGAAAACTTGTTGATAGTTGTTTGACAAAAGCTTAGGGCTTACCATGAGGATGGGAAGACGGGAATGGGTCTGGATTCACTTTAAAAAGCAACACGTGTTGTGCTAGAGTCAGACCCTGGCCCGTGTCCTGGGGCATGGCCTCACTAAATGGCACTTTGATTGATGTGTGGCACAAATGTGTCTGGGCACACCGTCACTTTCCAAATTCCGGAGCAATTGACGGGCCTCACATGCGACCAAAAAGGGAAAACAACCCAGATTTTGGCCAACTGTCAACTCAATTTGTGTGCAGGATTCCCCTAATTTCGTACCACACATAGAGGAATTATATACATAAGGCTTTTTATGTCGAGCGTAGAGTCTCCAGAGAACTACGTCAAAATGGGGAAGTGTGGCAATCAGAAAATGCCAAGTGCACTCCTCCATCGGTTCCTCCGGCCACTCCAGCCCCACAAAGGTGCTGAAAATACTGAAAAGCATTTTCGTTTCCAACCAACCAAAAAAAAATGGACGAAAAAAAAGCTCTCAATTTGTTGCTGAATTATGTCAAGGCGCAGAAGCGAGTGAGAGAGTCATAGATGTGGATGGGAGGAGGGCATTCAGCCCGAGTTTTGGGGTCTGTGAGCACCACCTGTCCTGGTTTCCGTTGCTTTTGTTAATCTGATGGTAGCCAAGATCAAGCCATAAACTATTGACCCACTCACCAAGGAGATTGTGCTTGCAGAGTCTAGAATCTTGACTCTAGAGTGAAGTCAAAGTTCTTTGAAGCCACTTAAAACATTTCATTTTTATTTTATTTATCTCTGAGAAACTAAACATTACTTTTGAGAGGTCATCTTTTTGAGAGGATATCACTCTGTTGACAGTTGCGTGGATCCTGTGTGTCCTGTGATGTGCGGACCGACGGGTTAATGGCAAAGCAGCTCATAGCATTCTCCAGCACCCGATGTAACTGGGTTAAAGCCCTTGATCTGCTTCCCCGTGAACAGCGTCACCAATATGCCCCAACCTAGAGGTTCTTCATCGTGATCATAGTCTGAATCTCATTAAAGCTTCTCCCAATACTTCAAATTGTTGAATGGCCAAAGGTCTCTTATTCCCCAGACGAATCGTGATCTAAAGGAATCAGATCAATTATTTTCTGAGAACATTCTTGTTGAAAGCAGGAACAGATTCGTTTCGTTCATTTTGTTTTTGGTTATGCCAAGCATTTTTATCAGGAATGATTTTACGGAATCGATACTATCGATACTTAAGAGTTGCTGAAGCGCGTGCTTATGGTTAAATTATTCAAATAAAATGATTCAAAACAAACAAAATTAATAAGACCGAATATTAAGAAGAACAACCAAGAAACAAAGGAAGAAAAGGTAAGTAGAAAGAACTAGAACGAACCAGAACTCCAATTGCAAATTCGAGGCCCTTTCTCTATCTCTCTCTTTTTTCTACGGAGCCCAACACTGAGAAAGGCTGCCAATTTGTTATACAAATGACAATGAAAATTATACACGACACTGAATTAATTTGTTTATTGTTTTATTTACTAAACAGTGATTTCTTTTATCGCTTTCTTCATTTCTTTTCATTGTTCTCCCCCTTGCATTCGCAGGCCACAATTTTCACCTTGTCGACCTTAAGGATTTCGGTTTTCTCGCTGAATGTCACATCTTTCAGCCGAAGGGTCCACACATTGTCGCAGAATTGGTAGGAATGCAGCTGGGTCCCCTTAAAGGTGAGGCGCGACTTTGCATTCTGTTTGATGGCCTCGGTGGTGCTCTTGTCGAACTGTTGGAGCACCGTGCGTGCCAGGACTGGCGTGATCTCACCTCTCTGCAATGGAGAGAGTTGGCACTTGCATTGGAGACACGCGGAAAGGCAGCTTTCGAGACACTAACCTGGATGAGCTCATCGAGGGTATCCTGCAACGTGTTGCCCAGGGTGGACGTTCGGTATAGCTGATAGTCCATTATTGTGTTGCTTTTTGCTAGCAATTACGTTTTACAATTACAATTTCACACACAAGCTCGACTCGGGTCTAGAAAAATGGCTACGAATTTATCGATAGGAAAATTTGTTATCGATGTGCGGATCTGAGACAAAAGCTGGCGGATTTTGCGCGTGTAATTTAGCTTAAAATGAAATTAATAACTGTACTAATACAGTGTAGTAAAACCCGTACAAAGTTTTTCCATTATCCGGCGTAATCTTCTCAACGTTTTATCTGCTGGTACTAGCAATTGTCCCGCTCTAGATGTCGCTACAGAGTTGCACGAGAGGAGTAGCCACGTGGCTCTCGCCTGCATGATTCTGATTAGCCCGAAAGGCCATGCTGCGCAGATCTCATGCAATTGGGTGTCTCTCCGGTGTGCTTCGATCAGAGCTTCGATTCACATTCGTCGCCTTGTACCGCCGGTCGACTCAAATTCAGTGTTTTGTGGCCAGGAGCTGGGAACAGATCTTATAGGGAATTCATAGCTTTTGTATTTACTCAAATAGCAAGTAACAAAGACGGCTTGACCCTCAAACCATCTCCGACTTTCCAATCAACCCTTGATTATTTTCCTTAGTTGAAACCTGGAAGTCTATCTAAACACTCGAGAAAAAACGAAACAAAAAAGAAGAATTAACAATGCAAGTCGCCAGTCAACCCATTCAGTACGGAAATCTGGGAGGACACCAAGCAGAGCTTCTCGCCATGGGGCCCCTGGGGCCATATGGATCGTATGGCTCCGACGATCCCGAGGGCCAGCCGAAGAACATGGGATTCAGCAATGACAGCATCCGACGGGGATTCATCCGCAAGGTGTACCTTATACTGATGGCCCAACTGGTGGCCACCTTTGGGGTCGTGTCGATCTTTGTGTTCAACGACAATGTCAAGATGTACGCCCTGCAGAATGGTTGGGTCTTCTGGTCGGCCCTGCTGCTGATGCTGGCCACGCTGCTGGGGCTGGTGTGCAGCCAGAGTCTGCGCCGCCAGACGCCGATGAACTTCATCTTCCTGGGCGGCTTCACCGTGGCCCAGTCGCTGCTGCTGGGCGTGTCGGCCTGCCGCTTTGGTCCCATGGAGGTCCTGATGGCTGTGGGCATCACGGCTGCCGTCTGCCTGGCCCTCACACTCTTCGCCATGCAGACAAAGTACGACTTCACCATGATGGGGGGCCTGCTCATCACCCTGCTGGTGATACTCTTGATATTTGGATTTGTGGCTGTGTTTGTGGGTGGCAGCATGCTCACCCTCATCTATGCCTCGGCCGGCGCCTTGCTATTCTCCATGTACCTGATCTACGACACACAGCTGATGATGGGTGGCCAACACCGTTACTCCATCAGTCCAGAGGAGTACATATTTGCGGCCTTAAATCTCTACTTGGATATAATAAACATATTCATGGACATTCTGGCCATAATTGGAGGCTCGGACAACTAACAGAAACAATTCTATATACGATATACTATATACGAGCTGCAGGCTTTGAGGCTTTCATTTAATTTTTAATTTGTTGATTTCACTCACGAGCCAATAAATCAAATTGTGCAGCATTAATTGAGGCTCGTTTACTCGTTTTCGAGTTGATTGCGTTGGGCATAAATTACAAATTACTATTACAGGACAACAGGTGCACACATCCGCACAGCCTCCCCCATGCGCATCTCCAGTGTCAATTAAGTTATTAGTTCAGAGCAATAAAACTGTCAAGGCCATAACAATATTAACATAAAGCCAACATAAATTGGCCGAAACTTTGGCAATAAATGTATCTACAAATGTCTGGAGAGTGTGTGGCTGTGGGTGTCGCTGACAGAAGCAGTCCGGCACCGAGGAGAGTCGCAAATCAAGTGAACTCGGGGCCAACATCTGGCCATGGGTATACATTTAATTAACAATTGACAGTCGCCTGACAGCTGGCTAAGCCCACAAAAGAACCCAAGGGCCAGGCATTAGGGGTATACGAGACAGATGGGGATATCAGATATCGATGGAGCTGAGTGGTTCCGCTGTGAAGCTGCAAAAGGAATTAGAATGAAATATAATAATAATAAAGATAAAGATGTAAGGAATATAACTGCAGATCATTTAGCAACAATAATTCCATTCAAACAAATGTACAGATCCTAGCAATCCCAGCAGTAACATCTCTCTTAAATTCCCCATAAAAAGTGCTTGTAAAAACTAGTTCCAACGATGGCACCCAATGAGACAGCACTAACAGGACCTGAACAAGAAGAGAAATGACCCCAAAAAGTTTGCGGTTGCGGCCATCAATAAAAGTTGGCTGGCGCATTCACATCCGAGCATCCACATCCACATTTAAGCATCCGCATTCGAATCCCGCATCTTATCTGCTCGCACGACCATGACCATGATCCCTGGCCGCAGTAAAGGTTCTTTTTTGGGTTTGGGGGGCCAACGTTACAAGCGCTTGGTTTTTGCATCTGTAGTTGTATCTGTGTATCTGTGTTTTTGTGTGGACAGTTTTGTTTCCTGTCAATGCTTTTGTCACTTTTCACACGTGTATACACATATGTACATACCCCCATACTACATATATTTACCGAGAGGAAAATGTCAAAAGGGCGCCCGCATTTTTGTTGTCACGTTTGTGGTTTATGTACACATTGCCCGGTCGGAAAAGCGGAAAAGTATCCCGAAACTAACAGTGATTCAGGTAAAACATGCACTTTTCTCCACTCGACACCAACACTCACAAATACACTCACTCATGTGTAATGTGAATACGTGGAGTTATGAGTCCCGTCCCCCACCACCACCCACCACCATTATGCACCCGCATTCATACGGAACTGGCATAAAGCCAACACTCACAGAAAAGTTTACGCTTATGGCCGACATACAGAATGTTTTTATTTCTACTTTAGTTTCAGTTTTAGCTGTCCTTTTTTACGGCTTTTGGGAACTTTTGCATATGTTTCGCAAACAGCAAGAGAGACAGCGATGGAGAAACTATTATGAATATTATATTTAGGACATGTTGCAAGTGCGTTAATGAGTTTTTTGTGCTCGTTTCGTATGCCGTCTCTATGTAATTAGTCGCCCATAGAAGTCGACCGACCCTCCAGCTGTAGCCATTAATCACACAACTCACACACTGACGAAGAAACTGGCAAAAGTTGACACAGATTTGACCTGAAGGGGGTTTGGCCAAAGGACGTTTAGACTCTAAGGAGATATTGTTAGCAGTAGTTCAGGGTTCAACGCACCCTTCCCCATGAAGGTGCAGGTTATGGATAAACTAAGCCACTATTATATTTGAATATATTCAATAAAATATGTAACAAGTTGATAAACTCACTCGTAATCACTGGTAATGCCGTAATTGATTCGGATTCAATTGATTCGATAATAGTTCTCGCATTACAAAAGTTAACAAACTGTCAGAGCCATTAAATGAAGTCAATTATTGGAGTTATGCTAGAAATAAATTTGGTTTGGCTTGGAAATTTAATTGGTCAGTTATTGGTAAAGTCAGCTCTCGAATTGGTCTGGAAATAGGATTGTCAGCTAGCGATTAGGAAATATAATTGTTTATAGAGTAGGGCCAATATATGGACATAATAAATTGAGTCTTATTGAGTACATTTCCCTGACATGATTCATGGAGGGACATTTGAAACTACATAGAACATTTTTTGCATTTATTCATAAAATGTTTAAAAGGTTTTTTAAAGAGGTTGCAAGTTTGATATCAAAAGAAAATCTTGCAAAGGAAGTGCCTTTCATTCCACACATTCTCGCATCGTATCATGTCCGATGGAATTTTCTTACAACTGTGGATGAGTTCACTCTGCAAACCAATTCACCCATAGAATGATTGCGGAACTGAATCAGAGCCCCAGAGCTATCAAACATCCATCAAATGTTGAGCCGAAAGTGAGCTGCAGCTGTGCAAAAGTAAATGTATATGTACATACATAAATACAGTACATATGTATATATGTATCATTGATGCAAGCAAAAATTCAGTTTTCTTGTGAAATTTTTGGGCGAATTTCCGTTTGCAGTTTGGCGTACGCCTACCGATGTCCGAAATCAATACGAACTCGGACTCAATCAAACATTTCCCCATCTGCATTCCGGTTCAGTGCTCTCTGCTTTTGCTCCAGCACACCACGTTGTTTGCCATTTGCCCAATCACAGATTTTTCTTTTTATCAATTTTCACGGAACTCTTCTACATTTCCCCTCACTCTGGCTGCCAGCTGACTCTCTCTCTCTCTCTCTTTTCCGACCAGTGCGCTGTGCAGTTTATTTTGCAATCAAATTGTTTTTATCACATCCGCACAACTAAACTGTAAACATTTGCAAGCAACACTTTTGCCAGTTCCGGCATTCCCTGAAAAAATGGTCCCTCTAAATCCAGAAAATAGGAGAATGCAAAATGAATATGATGCAGGGGCCAGGAGCGGCCTCAAGGTTTGAGTGACTATAACAGCTGCGTACAACGTTGTTTCTCTTGGATTGGATACATGTACCCACTAAATATCCGACATCCACGGATAGAGAATATCTAAGTTAAGAGCATGATGGTTATGCTACATTTACACCACTCTGCAATCGGAATGATGGTGTTCATAGCGTGATAGAACCTAATCTTATTATAATTATCATTTAATTGTTAAAATTTGCACTTTCCAAAACCTTATATGGCCCATCCGAACTCATCCCAAGCCGCCCCTGAACATAGACACGCAGACACGCAAAGCTAGATAGAAGAGAATATTCAAAAAAGAAAAATCCGACTCGAACTGCAACAAAAAATTAGAAAAAACTACGAGTGAGATGGGGAGACTACCCACAGTCAATGTTAGCGAGTGATAGAGGGTGGTGGGGGAGTGTGTGCTACAAAATGTTTCGATGAAGGCAGAGAAATTTGCAATCAAAGTTCAGAGATTCTGCTGCTGCTGTGCATACCCGGGGTATTTTTTCTGTAGTTTGCAGTTGTTTGGTTTTTAGCCACATTTAACTTGAGTTTGCGGAACGCAGGAAGATTGAAAACCAAACCGAAGGCGAAAATCAATTAATGGCTCGGCGGGGAAAACAGTTGGAAAGCGTAGCTCCGCTCCGACTAATTGTTGGTCGAAAAGTTGGCAAACAAGTCTGTGAATGGAATGCCATATGCGAGCGAAATTTTTTGTGGTGGAGGGGAGGGTACGAGCATTGTGGGCTCTTTGGGGCAACGGCAAATTCATGAAAATTTCAATCGCTTTCCATTTTGCGGTAAGCTGCTTAAATGCGCCTTTGATCCACGAAGTAGTCGGGATGCCGGGACCCGAACCAGCATCCCCAGACTTCGACCAGAGGCAATTTTTGACCGGCCACGTGATGAGCATCAAAAGCGTATTCAAATACACGGCCAGAAAGTGACAAACAGGCAAGACGCAGAGCAGAGCTTAGGGGAAGTTGGCCAAAACATACAAATTGTCGAGCCGCATTTACAACGAGAACTGGGGGTCAGAAGGTGGCATGGGAGGACAGACAGTTGCCGGAGCAGTCATGCACACGGAGCCACAGACCCGAATCGGGCCACGGACTTGACTTCGGAATGGGACTAAGCCTGAAGCCTCTGAAGCGGGGACAATTTAACAATCTAATTTATTTATGAAAGCCAAAATGCACTTCGATTGTCCGACAATGGAAGATGTGACCGAAATTCAATTTAAATCATCAACTTATTGATGGGCATTAAGCCAATTCCAGGCGCAGTCACGTGTCCCACACCTGAGTCAATAAGCTATGGACAAATGGCTGACCAGAAAGATATTAAGATGGAAAAAGGGATAATGAGCTAAGCCCTTCTAGTATTTTGATCCATTTATTTCTCAAATATTCTGTTCCATATCGATAATCATATATATGTAGTTACCAATCCCCAACTGCAATCTTTTCTTCCTAATTTAAGTAAAAACTTCAAGGCGTTACAGTCTTACCTCGGCAATTTTTCAATTAGTTTTCGCCACACCAATTCTTGCTCTGTTTCTGGTTCTGATTCCCAAACTGTGTCAGCCACGCCCATGGCACACTCACGCCCACTGAAAAAAAAATAATATGAGTGGAACAGCAAGCAGAAAAGGTAGCAAACAGGAGGCAGGTTAATAACCGACATGCCACGAAAAATTAATAGCAAACCATTTAGCCAAGTTTTCGCGGCTGCCACGCGACGAGGCCAAGAAGGAAAACACCCACAAATAGCAGCAGTAGTGGGTGGTGGAAATTATGCAGCGGCAGCAGGAGACATCAGAGGGGCAGGGTAGAGGCAGCGCCTCTCTCCAGACAGTAAATGGAAATGAAAACCTTTGACTTAATTTGCGGCCAAGCATTGGGTTTGAGAGGTGCGAGCGTGCGAGTGTGAGTAGACTTGCAATTTAATTAACAGAGCCAGTTAGACAGTTAAACTAAGCCCTGGTCCCATTCCATAAGACACCACCTTAAACGCACACACACGCAGAGAATGTGACCCTTGAGCCCCCTGCTGAACCCCTTGTTCGACCAAAATAAAAGTGCTCCACTCAAGTGGTGCACGCAAAATAACTTAAAAGCCGCAAAGTGGCTGGCAAAAACTATTTAAGTTTATGCGATAACAACAGTTAAGAGGGTCCTTTGCTTCAGACCATCTTTTGGATAGGTTGAAGAGGGTGTCACAGGGTATTCCAAATGAAAGGTAAGGCAGGTAAGTTTCAGCCTTTAGATAGTTCGAATATATGTGCGAGGCTGCTATAAAGCATCGATGTATAGACATGAATCATTAGGTATTGTTTATATAGATACGTTACTACTGCCTTACCTTCCAACTTAATGTTCCATCTATTTTATTTGCCACAATATTGCATACTTTCAGGCGCGGACCACATTCTTCAGTGTGCGTCCGTGCGTGTGCAGAGGGAGTGTAAGAGTAAGTGTGCGTGTGTGTATGTGTGTGCAGTTATGTAATTATGGTAATTAAAAACGCGCAGCAAACGTCGCTTGTTGGGGCTCCGCCGTTTGTCTTGTCATCGTATTTCATAGTTAAGCACCTTTTGGCTTTTCCTATTTGAACAAAAGCCATAGACAGAGAGGAGGATCCCCAACACTCACACACACACACACACAGACACAGACCTCTGTCACAAACACAGATACTCCAACCCTTAAACATTCGCATTTACATACATGAATAATATTACAGGGAGACAGAGAGAGAGTGAGAGGCATCGCCTGTTTCCCCAACAGAATTATGATTATTTTGTTATAAATTGTAGCTGTCTCACTTTGTCAGACTCCACCCACAAACACACACACACACACAATTATCAATTAACAATGCTAATGAGGCTCCAATCTGCCTGAAAATTGTGCAAGGCAAAAACTGTGCAAACCACACGTCGCGCCAAAAGGTGTTGAAACTGAAAAATCCGCTTAAATCTGGTCTGCGGGGATTATTACTCTGCACTTTAACCGAAATCAAAATCATCCACAAAAGAAAATACACATAAAAAGTTGTATATAAATGTTAATATAAAACATCTGGATTATTTATCTCCCAATGAACATTTAATGGCTTTAAGGCTTCATTGATTAAAGCGAAACATAAAGTTTATTACAGCTTACAACAAATAATAATAATATATTAAATGTGTTAAATGTAAACCGGAATGGAATACCGGGAAAAAAGTTGACAGCACATTAAAACAGAATTTAAGGGCTTAGTATTTGCTTTCCTGAAAATGTAATGTTTCATATTCAATGAATGAAATTTTACTCTTTGTGTTGTGTTCGTTTTCGTGTTCATGTTTTTTTCTTCCTGTGTGTAATATAAAACTCCACAAACATCAACAACTTGCATAAGATATTGGCAAAAATATGCGAGATATAAAAATTGCTTACTAATTCGATTGGCAAAATGTAGACGCGAAATCTTACCAAAACATTTGCAATTCCATTCGCTTTCCTACCTCCCTCTCATTAGCTTTTAAATAAATATAAATCAGCCAAACTAACAAAATACAAAATAAATATTTATAAATATCAAAGTGTCAAACCTTCCTGTTTACATTCAAAATTATATAAAATAGCAAACGAAAAAACACAAGAAAAACCATAGTTATGAAATGTACATACATATTGATCCAATTAACTAATTGCTGATTCACATTTAAACAATTATTTGGCATTCTTTCACTAATTTCAAATTAAACAAAAAATTCCGATTGAATTTACATTCTAAACAACAAATTCAATTACCTCTTTCGACTCCCCTATCCATACTCTTTCCGTTCTCTCTGTGTACATAAACTGACATATTATTTTCATTACAATCAAATTTGCTCACATTGTTTGCAGTTTCGGATTAACCTTTGCCTCTGCCTCTGCACATTGATGGCCACCTAATCCCCGCCGCAAGTCCCTGAATGTTACAGTGTTACACGACACCTGTTAGTCCACTGCCAGCACACATCGATGGGGATTCCCATCGCCTCCCCCACTCGAAGACCCGATACAATTGCGTATGGTTATGGCTTTTGGCCAGACGCATAAACCACAATTTGTGGTTAATACTGGCGCCACAAACATCGATGCCGACACCTCTAAAATCGAATCGAAAGCTTTCCCTTTTTTTCTGGTAAACAGTAGCGATAGAGGTAGAAAAAAAAAAACAAAAACATACACTTGAGTATTCCACATTTTACACGATTCCCCCGCAAGCATGCGAATGGTCTCATTAAGAGCGTCCGCTTCTTGGCCCAAAAGAATGAAACCAAAACGAAAACGAATCCGAAACGAAACGAAAGTACAAATCAAATATGCAAAATGCGGACACCCACAGCAGTACTGCTGTACGGGGTAGAGTCTCTCCGAACTTACAGCTTCGTCTTCAGATGTGCTGCAATTAATAAGTCACGAATCTATGGTCTGTGGTCGAGCGAAATCGGGCGACAAAAATGTGTTTTGATTATGCGATGATGGGTTTTCCAAACTGTAATTATTTTCTTTGCCAGTTTGTTTTCTTGCCGTTGCCATTTAGGCCATAATTTCACATTTAAAGCGATTAAATTTCATCTGGGGACAGCGCTTGTTATTTTGCTTCAATTACACTTGCTTATTTATTTTATGTTACACTTGCAAGGGGTATAATGACTTTTACCCGATGGCCTTCCTTTCTTGTTTTATTTCTTGCTGTTTCTTGTGCACTTTTGCTGCAGTGTTGGGCTCTTGTACTCGAGCTTGTGATTGATTTGCAGCTTGTCCAAGGTGCGTGTGATTAATATGCCAGCAATCATCAGCTGCAACTGTAGAAGCCACAAACAAAATGTATTTATCTTGATCGCTTGCCCCCTCGACTAAGCATAGAAATTATTCAATTATTACTTGTTAAGAAAAAAGACAAACACTCGTAAAACTATCCAGCAAATGTGCAAAACTCTTTACCAAACTCAAGGCAGCGCAAATATTTGCTAATTAAGCATTTCTACGTGCCTAAATATAACTCTCTGAGTGTTTTTTTTTTTTTTGTTTCTGTCTACAATCTTTATTTTGCTTACCATTCAGAGGCAGTAATAATAAATTTGACATCACAGCATAAAATTACCGGCAGCAGCTGCTGAATGTATGTAAGTCTGGAACTCAGCCTGAGCTCATCGCGCGGCTTAAAACCGAATTGATTGATAAATATTGTATGCTGATAGCATTGACCCGTGCGGATCTCCGACCTACTGATCAATTACTAGCACAAATAATGAGTGATCTCCCAGCAGCCACAGCAGCATCTCTGGGCCGTCTTTGGCGTTGCGTTTGCACAACATTTTTGCAATTTGTTGACAGCTCTGCTGGAAGCTCTGCTGCTACTCGTGACTCCGTGGAACTTCAGTCCCATCCGATCCGACTCCAGAGTCAGCCTCTGCCTCTGCTTTGGTGGTAAATGAAGTTCGCTTGGCCTTGTCGCACGCCAGTCTGCCTCTGACATTTGCACGTCGCGCTTCATCGTCTGCGTTCCGTCTGCGCCGCCGTCTCCGACTTCTGTGATATTTCTATTTTATTGGCCAAAAGAGCAAGCAAGAGTGCCGAAAATACAAAATAACAACAACAAAAAGGCGAACCAAAGCCGCTTACAATATCAGAAAATTTGATTTTTGTTGAGCGAACTTGAGCTGTGATTTATATCAAACGCAATGAAAACGGTAATTCAAAGACAAGAATCGATCCATAAAGAGTGTCGAATCACCCCATCAAAGTGTGTGTTTTGACTGGAAGCGATGATTCCGGTTGGTCACATTTCTCAATTAGCTGAATCAGATCTGGAGATCAATTCGATATAATTAGATATGCAAATCGCTGCTTTATCGCTGCTTAAACTTACGACTTGGTGCTATATTTTTGTCAAGATTTATCACCATGGGGATGAAGTAATGTTGGGCATTGATTTTAGCTTTTATAGACTACTTCGAGGGAAATCAGGAAACCTCTCCATTCAATTAAACGTCTCACAACTCTAAAGTTATCTTTTCAGTTGTGGTATAGAGTAATTTTTAGGCATAGCAGATCTCACGATTACTGACTTTCCTCTAATATATTTCTAACAGCTTCTTTATTTTGTCTCCTCCTAGCTCTGCTCTTTCCTTCGTCACACACTCAGCCTTGTTCTGCTGATGGTTTCCATACAGTCGTCCTGGGCAGCTCCTGCTCTGCGCTTCAGCGATAACGAGGTGGATGAACTGGAGGCATATCCCACATCGCCCAGCCAAGTGCTGCCTATCCAGCCGCTGCTCATCTATCCGCAACAAAGGGCCAATCTCTACCAGGCACGCACCTTGGGGGGCAACGATGATAGGGACATCATTTTCGTGAAGCTGCTGCAGGACAAGTCCAGTGGCTACCGGCCCAAGCAGCAGCGCCTTGTCATGGAGGAGGAGAAACCCGCGCAGCGCAAGGAGCTGGGCCTGAAGGACTTCTTCTATGTGAAGGCCCACACAAACGGGCGCTTCAGTCACGAGCGCCTGAAGGTCTACAGAGTGCCCGAGTTCTACGCCATCAGTGTGTTCCGCAACGGAGACACATAAGCAGGGAGGAAGGGTGGCGAGAATGCGCTGCATCTTAACGATGCACAGAAGTAATTTAAGTTATTTTTAAGACGCTATAAATAAATACCATACCTCAGGAATGCTTAAGAGCAGCTCTCCTTATTGCTGCAGGGGGGCTGAACCTCTTATGAGAGACACTTTGCGTGAGGATTTACACGCAATTTCAATTATTCATCAAACAAGGCAAAGGCGCTCCCGCTCGGATCAGTCTGCAGAATGATGGGTGTCAGCGTCGCCTTCGCCGTCGCCATCGCCATCAGCATCAACATTCGCATCAACATGGACTCAGACATGAACTTTGCTGGGGCTGGGGAGCCACGTCAAGCGGCAATTAATAACTGTCACTCAATTGGCGGCTTCGGCGCACGTCGAACTAAAGCTCCAACCTCCACCCTCCAGCACCTGCCTCCAGCCACAGCTCCACCTCCATCTCCAGCAGCAACAAAGAACTAATCCCTTTTGTCATTGAGCGGCACCGACCGCGGGCCAAAGCATTACGTCAAAATCAAAGAAAGCAACAAAAGCATAAACAAAGCATAAATCGAAATGGAAATGCTTTCTACTGAAAGTCGAACTGTGGATACACTCAAAGCAGTGTCTAGACATTTAAAAATAGCTAATGAATAGTATATGCATAAGAATCCGCTTAGAACCCATATACCTGGAATTATCTACGCATCATCCATCATGATCGGATAATTTTTGTAGACAGAATTTACTCACTTTATTATTATTATATTTTATTGATAAATGATCAGTTTACATCCCAAGTCTTCCAGCATAGGCCTTATACCCGATTGAAAGCAATGCGAAATAAGTAAATAAATCACATCCCATTTGAAACTCTTCAACTCTTGTCAGACTTTCGCCCAAAAATAATTGTAGGCACGTCTGGTGGCGTCTTTAAAATGCAGCCCAGGCATTTGCTCCACATGGGCGACAGAGAGACAATGGAGACCCGTCAGACAGAAAGAAATTGAGTGTCAATTATGGTAATTTAATAATTAACTGCTAATGGGAGCTGCTGGGAGGAGCTCCCCAATCTGGGGCCTAGGGCAATTAAGCGCAGCGCTCTGTCAGTTGACCATCAGACGGGGCGCAATGTTCATGGACATCAGCTCCTGGAAGAGCAGCTTGGCCGCGTAGGGGAGGCGCACCTGGGAGATTTGCGTCTTGTTCTTGCAGCCCTTGCACTCGAACGTATTATTGCGCAGATTGGCAATGGCGATCAGGCCGCAGAAATTACAGATATGGACGCGATACGGATCGGAAACCTCAAAGAGACGCTCCCTAAGGAATTGGGCGGCGCCGTGAGAGATCTGGCAATCACGCTCCATCTCACCGAAACGCAGGCCGCCGTCACGGGCTCTGCCCTCCATAGGCTGTCGCACCAGAATCTGGACAGGGCCGCGGGCACGTGAATGGATCTTGTCGTCCACCATATGCTTCAGACGCTGATAGTATGTGGGTCCCAAGAATACCTAAAGCAGAAGGGCATTTCCATTGAAAGAGAGCTCACAAATGGAAGTGTGTATGGGACTCACCTGGGCATTGATCTTGCGTCCTGTGTGGCCATTGTACATGACCTCGTTGCCACGCAGATGATAGCCGTACTCCTGCAGGAACGTGGAGATCTTCTGCACGTTGACGGCATCGTTGAAGGGCGTGGCATCACCGATTTCTCCCTTGTTGGAACCCAGCTTGCCCTGCAGGCACTCGATTAAATGCCCGATTGTCATACGAGAGGGGATGGCATGGGGATTGATGATGATATCGGGGGCCAGTCCCTCGCATGTGAAGGGCATATCCTCCTGCCGATACTGGATGCCGCACGTTCCCTTCTGCCCGTGACGAGAGGCAAACTTGTCGCCGATCTGTGGTATGCGCACGGAGCGCACACGAATCTTGCAGAACTTATAGCCCTCGCTGTTGAGGGTCAGCATCACCTGGTCCACGATGCCCGTCTCGGAGTTACGCAGGAAGGTGGAGGCATCTCGCTTGGCAAACCTCTTCGTGTTGCTGTCCAGCTCGTCATCGTTTTCCGGCAGGGTGATGGTCTTTCCAATCACCACATCGTCACCAGAGACACGAATGCCAGGGGCTATGATGCCGTCGTCGTCCAGTTTGTCGTAGTGGGCATTCCGCATGCCCTGGCAGGTGCCGCGATGGGGTTTCTCAAAGTTCTCCTCCTGATCGCCCACCCGCTTGTTCTCCGAATCCTTGTACGACCGGTAGAACACCGATCGGAAGAATCCTCGCTCCACCGCCGAGGCATTCAGGATGACAGAATCCTCCTGGTTGTAGCCCGTGTAGCAGAGAATGGCCACAATCGAATTGATGCCGGCGGGCAGCTCTCTGAAGCGCAGATACTCCATAGATCGTGTGGTGACCAGCGGCTTCATGGGATAGTACAGCACATGGGCGAGCGTGTCCATCCGCACATGGAAGTTGGTGATGTACACGCCCATGGCTTGTTTGCCTGTGGAAGGGGGAGAGGAGTATAAGAACAAGATTGATACTCCAAAGGGGATTGGATGCCTTACCCATAGCACTTTGATAGGTGTTACGCGGACTCTGGTTGTGATCGGGGAAGGGTATAATGGAGGCGCAGACGCCCAGGATCATGGCGGGATGAATCTCGCAGTGCGTATAGGTCGTACAGTAGGCATAGTCCTTGTCCTGTTTGAGATCGTAAGGCGACATGGCAATCATGACCGTCTCCTCCTCAAGGGTATCGATGTACTCCACCACGCCGGAGGCCACCAGCACCTGCCAGCTGTAGTTGTTGTAGTCGCGCTCCTTCAACATCTCCACATGGGTTTTCTTCAGCAGCAGCGATCCATTCTCCACGATCAGCAGCGGCCGACAGATGCGACCCGCATCCGTGTAGATTCGAATCTCTCGATCGCGAATATCTCGGATCATGGACACCTCCGACACGATGATGTCCATCTGGCGACGCAGTTTTCGGAGCGTGGCCATCAGCTGCTCGGGATCCCGATGGATGCCCACCCAGCAGCCGTTCACAAAGATCTTGGTGGCATCCGCAATCGCCGAAGGTGCAATCTCCTCCAGATTCTCCATGGACCACTCCTCCAAGAACTCCAGAATGGGCGACGGCTGTGAGCCCACGGATATGTAGGCCATCAGAGCCAGATTCTTGACCAAACCGACGGCGGCTCCCTCTGGAGTCTCGGCGGGACACAGCATGCCCCAGAGCGTGTTGTGCAGCTGGCGGGGCTTCGCCAACTTTCCGTCGCGGCCGATGGGCGAGTTGACGCGACGCAAATGGGACAGGGTCGAGGCGAAGGTCAGGCGGTTCAGCACCTGGGAGACACCGGCACGCGCCTGATGGGCTTTTTTCTGGTCGCCCCAGTTGCCGGTGGCCAGGGAGTAGCGCAGGCCGTCGGTAATGATGTTCGTCTTGATGGCCAGCTCCAGATTGAAATCCTTTCCGCGATCGATGAACTTTTGTGTGTACATGCGCACCTCCTTCATCAGGTTCTTGAAGAGGCCGCGGAAGAGGAAGGCCAGCAGGGGTCCGGCCAGATCCAGGCGCTTGTTGCCGTAGTGATCGCGATCGTCCAGCTCCCGGCGACCCAGCGAGGCCAGCAGCAGGCGGTGCACCATATAGCCGAGGAAATACGCTTTCTTTGTCTCGCAGAAATCGGAGACTCCCACATGGGGCAGCATTTCCTTCTGCAGGATCTCCTTGGCGTACTTTATACGCTTGTCCTTCGTCACTCCAGGACGGGCGCCACGTGCTCCGATGAAGTTGAGGGCCACATTCTGCTCCTGCACCACGAAGGCCTCGTCCAGCGATGGCTTCACCATTTCCATCATCTCCGGATCGTCGAAGTCGTAGATGATGTGCTCGAGGATGTCGCGATCGGCTACGAAGCCCAGGGCACGGAACACAATCATAATGGGTATTTCCTGCTTGATGTACGGCAGGATGGCAATGATTCTCTGTCCAATGGCGGACTTCTTGATGTTCTGCGATCCTCGCGCCATCATGTTCACCCACAGCGTGGAAGTGGGTCGCGAGCTGTGCTCCAGACAGGAGCGTATCTCCGTCTTGAAGGCATACTTGCCATCCTTCATGCTGAACACATACACGGTGTTTGTGGCCATCTTCTCCTGGGCAATCAGCACCTTCTCGGAGCCGTTGATGATGAAGTAGCCGCCGGGATCCAGCGGGCACTCGTTCAACTCGGTCAAATCACGATCCGTCAGCTGGGAGAGCAGGCAGTAGGTGGATCTCAGCATAATGGGAATCTTGCCGATGAAGGTCTTCTGGTGCTGCGTCTCCACGGGATCTAGGCCTTCCACATTCTTTGTCTTTGTGATGTCCACGTACAGGGGGGCCGAGTAGGTGAGGTTTCGCAGACGCGCCTCGTTCGGCATCATGGGACTGGGCGAACCATCCTTCTCCCAATGCGTCGGCTTCGACAGATAGATCTGTTCGAACTTAAGCGAGAATCTTGGCGGCGTCTCCACCTCCCCGGATGTGTGCTGTGCCTCTGCCTGCAGCTCGATGGCCGGCGAGTCCTCCACAATGCGTTGCACAGACATCTGAATGAACTCATCGAAGCTGTCCAGCTGCTGCCGCACCAGACCCTTCTCATCGAAGTAAGCGTTGATCACGATCCAGCAGGCCTCCTGCCACAGCTCGTGGGAGATCTCCTCTGGCATTCTCCTCCTCGAACAGCTCTGCAATGACATATTTATTAGCAAAAAATTATAGAAAAACACGAACGGAGCGCTAGTGCTCCATCGCCGCCATGTTAATTTTTGCCGCAGCGTGCCTTGTGGCATCTTTTTTTCCACACCTTCTTCGTTGTCGTACATCATCTTGTCGAGTTTGCTAGAGTGCGAGAGCACTTAAAGCGTATTAATAAATATTGATATATCGATTTAATCTTATTTAAACTATAAAAACACACAATATTTCACAACAATTCTTGGCAAAAACCGCGTTCGGCGGCGTTTTGTCTTGCAGTGTTGGACAGCGCGCATTCTAAAACAATAACAAGAATTATGTTATTTTAATATGCTAAATTTGTTACGCAAACTAAACTGATCTGTGTAAAAATGGAAATATTAAATATTACAAATCATTAAATTATGCAATATATTATTTTATTGGACATTTTCAGTTTAAATAAATATGCGTTTGAAGACACTCCAACTGAGTCCGCATCACTTTGCAGCACTAAAAAAACAGCCGGGCAACAGCTGGTCTTTCGCATGTTTTCCTCCTTTTCTTGTTATTCAACGCAACGCAGATTTTCGAATGAGTTTTTTAAGAAAAGGCGGCCGGTTTTTGATTGCCGGCATAGTGCCGGCCATACAGGATTCCCCTGATGACATCGTCGACAAGGAGAACAAAACCTACAAAGCCTATTTGGCCAGCAAACCGCCAGATGAGACCGGTCTCGAACGTCTGAAGCATATGTTCACAATTGAGTGGGTAAAATGTTGATAATAAGAAGTATTCCACGGCTAATGATACTTATCCATGGTTAAACAGTGAATTTGGCAGCATATCCTCCGAGCTGAACTCTATTTACCAGGCTGGCTTCCTTGGCTTCCTTATTGGAGCCATCTACGGCGGCGTTACACAATCGCGGGTGAGCTACATGAATTTCATGGAGAACAATCAGGCCACGGCCTTTAAATCCCACTTTGATGCCAAGGTGAGTGCCTGCACTACACTTTTGTGTGCTCTAGTCCTTTAGCTTTGAGTTTTGATTACAGAAAAAACTGCAGGATGAGTTCACAGTGAATTTCGCCAAAGGTGGCTTCAAATGGGGCTGGCGTATGGGTCTTTTCACGACCTCCTACTTGTGAGTGCCTCCTACCATCAACTGAGACGAGATCCCAATTGACTTACGTCCTCTCTCGATTCCAGTGGCATCATCACCTGCATCTCTGTTTACCGCGACAAATCCTCCATTTACGAATACCTCGCCGCTGGCTCCATAACCGGTGCTACATACAAAATGAATCTGGGTCTTCGGGGCATGGCTGCTGGCGGCATAATCGGTGGCTTCCTGGGCGGAATTGCTGGCGTGACTTCCCTGCTGCTGATGAAGGCCTCGGGCACATCCATGCAGGAGGTACGATACTGGCAGTACAAGTGGCGAGTAAATCGCGACGACAACATTCAGGCGGCATTCAAGAAGATGTCCGAGGACGAAGACCCCGCGCTGTTCAAGGCCCACGACAATCGCGTACCCGAAGAGGTGTCCCTGGACTCGGTTAAGTAAAATGTTGAAAAAGTGTAGACTTAGATCAGAGTTTAATTTAAATAAATTGCATATATGTCCATTTAAAGTTAGACAGAAATACATTTAAGGAAGCCCACAATGGCTGCTGCTATGCGTTGTTTCAGTTGATGCCTAGTGCAACTAAGGATTTGGATACGTTTCAAGATACAGATACAGATACATGGAGACATGGGTACGGAAGACACAACATAGAGAAGAGACGAGAAGACTTGCATGCTGACACGAAATAAATTAAATGCTTTGCTAGGAAATCGAAAGTTGAAGGTGGAGGAGAGCATTGACTCGGTGGGGTATTGCGATTCAGACTTGGTCTTCGTTGGAGGGACGCGTGAGGCGCTTGGCGCCCCGATTCGGTGGGCCCTTGGGCTTGGCAAATGCCGGACGATGCAATATCTTCTTTGGATGCAGCTCGTCTAACAGGTAGGCTTCAGTCAACTCGTTGCCGTTGTCGATTTCCAGCTGGAGGAGCGAAAGATTAGACAAGCAATCGGAATGACAGGTTTTTCCACTTACCTTTTTAACCACATCGACTCCCATTGCCGCCAGCTGCTCGAGGAACGGTGCCTTGCAGCTGGAGTACATCATGCGCTCGCGCACTGAGCACGTGTAGCCGGGCATGGAGTAGACAAACACATATGACTCCTGGTAGTCGCCCTCGTGGGTGTGCCTGAACAGGAACAGATGATAGCGGGCATGATCCTCGGGCACCTGCTTGGGCAGAGCGCTAAGCTCCACCTGGGCCGCATGGGCGACATGGATGCGCTCCTCCTCCAGATCGATGCGAAACTGCAAGTAGTCGTAGTTGCCACGCACCAGATCTTGCACAGCGGCCACCGTGGCATCCGTTAGGGGGCAGGAGATCCCGCCGAGTGTCTGGTGCCGTGTGTTCGTGCTGATTTCGGTGTGGACCTCCGTCTTGCGCAACTCCTTGAGCTCCTCCTCGCGCATGGTGAGCGGTGCGGGAGCCGCAAAGTCCCGCTTGTGCTTGCGGTAGCCCTCCAGCGTGGTCTCCTCCAGAGTGGTGGCGTGCAGCTCCTCTGTGATGTACGCGGACCCGAACTCCGTCTTGAGCGTGGCCTTGGTGGAGGCATACACCATCTTTTGGCGTATACTGGCAGCGTCCGGGATCCAGCTGATCAGCAGCCAGCTGTGACCCAGCGGTATCTTCGCGTCCAGCCGGTACAATATGTAGCAGGGCACATTCTCCTCCAGCAGCGGCCCCAACAGCTTATCGTAGTCGCGCTCCCAATCCTTCTTCGCATCAGCTGTGGCGCTACAGCTGAGCTGTTCTGTGGGGGCGGAAGAGAGGCCGGAAGCCGTGTGCTTATCACTGGATACACAGTATATTTATCGTGTATATATACTCACCATTCTCTATGGATACTTTAAGCACTCGCAATTTTCCATTTTTGGCCTTTCCAAACAGCTTTGCCAGTTGCTCATTGGCTGCGGGAGCACAAAGGAATGTTAATCTTGGGTTTTATTAGGTGTAGATAAGAACGTACCTCGGATTCCCGTTTGGTGAGACATTTTAAATGCAGCTAGCTAAATTTACCGAAAAAAAATTATTACTAATGCTGACCAGTGTGACCGACCATAACGAAATTTATCGTCTCACTTTCAAAATATACTGTAAATATACTGTATTGTATTGCATGCTGTGTGTATTGGAAAACATAAAGCCAGTAGACGTTTCTAGAAAAGGCTAGAAACACAAACTTTGCGTTTTGTCTCTCATCCTATCTCCTTCTATTATGAGAATTAATTAAATAAGAAATACTTGAAACCCGATACCATCGAAGAAAGTGCAAGGTGTGCGACGTAAAAGAGAGAGAACGATTTCCAGAATATTATATGTTGTATGGGAAAATAACGTAGTACGAGTAAAATAATTATGATATAATGTAGTATTGTTACTCTGAAATACGACCATTCATTGCACTTATTTAATATACCTGGTACGATCGATAGTGCCATACGCTATTTCGATAGCAGCTCGTTAGTGTAATCGATTTTCACGCTGTGCTTGGTAAAATGTAAAGGAAAAGTGCATTTAATTTTAATTGCATTTAACGCGACCAAATCGACACAAAAAAGCATTTATAGTGCAAGCGCATAGTAAATAAAGTGAGTAGTAATTAGGTTTCGGCGTTTATCCACGGTCTAGTGGGCAATCAGAGTGGCTCTGTCGCTGGCGCAGCATTCGCAGTCGCTGCCGACGTCAGCAGAGGCCAGTCACCGCCCCAAATGTTTACATGCCATGAAAAACGAAGCAAAGCTGATGGTTTTTTCCTCTTGGACAGCATCCACACCCATGTTAACCGAAGCCCCCATGGCCAGTGACAACATAATGGACGAACTAGCATCTTTGATACGCACCGAGATCCCCGACGGCCGCCAGAGCCTGCGAGACAGCTACACCAATCTCGAGAGGGTGGCTGACTACTGCGAGGACACCTACTATCGGGCGGAAAACAAGAAGGGGGCTCTGGAGGCCACCAAGAACTACACCACCCAATCGCTGGCCAGCGTCGCCTACCAGATCAACACCCTTGCATATAGCTACATGCAGCTCCTCGAACTGCAGGCCCAGCAGCTCAGCGAAATGGAGTCGCAGATGAATCACATCGCCCAGACGGTGCACATTCACAAGGAGAAGGTGGCCAGGAGGTAAGAGGAGTGTTGTGTGTGTGCCCTGTGTCCTTTTCGATATTGAAACCTTTGCTTCCAGGGAAATTGGCGTCTTGACGGCCAACAAAGTGAGCTCGCGGCAATTCAAGATCGTGGCCCCCATCAATCCGGAGAAGCCCATCAAGTATGTGCGCAAGCCGATCGACTACTCGATTCTGGACGAGATCGGGCATGGCATCAATTCTGCCCAGCATCAGGTGCGTCAGAAGCACCGCGGCTCCAGCCATGGGTCTGTGCAATCCCTAATACCGCCTTCGGTGGGTCCGCCGCCCACCACCAAGCCACCGACGCCGCCGCAAATGTCGCGTGCCGGCAACACGGGTACCCTGGGCAAGTCGGTGAGCAATACCGGGACGCTGGGCAAGAGCTCACGAGAGTATCGCACTCCGCCGGTGGTCAATCCGCCGCAGGTGCCCTCGCACTACGCCCCCAACTATCCCATCGGGCATCCGAAGCGCATGTCGACGGCCTCGTCCAGCACCACGATGACCACCACCACCATGGGCGGAGGGGCAGCAGGCAATGAGCGTGCCGCGGGATACAGTGCGCTGCCCATGCCCCCGAGCCAGCAGATAGCCACGCACGTAAATCTACCCTCGGCGGGTATGATGCAATCGCTGCCACCACCGCCGCCTACCACCTACGACGACAGGAGCAGTATGCCACGTGAGTTAGCTTCAAATGATGACCCGAGCGAAGGCTAATAATCGCTTCCTGATATTTAGCAGCTCCTCCTTCGCCGCTGACGGTGTCGCAGCACGAGATGACCGAGCAGAGCCACATCGGAATGCACACGCTGGGACGCAATATCAACAGGTAAGTCGCATCCCGCCACCCTGCATCCCTGCATCTGCCTGTATATGTAACTCATTTCATTGTTCTCTATGCAACACCCAAGGAATCCGAATCGGTAAATTGCATGCTAATTCATTATGTTCCCACATATTTATGTTCCCAGCACTTGATTAACCCTTGACTTTGCCACAGGAATCATTTCAGCTTAAATTTTGCACGTCCGGGCTCGCAGTCACCGCCCTTGCCGCCACCGCCGCCGCCAGAGGATGAGCACCAGGACTTTGGCAGGCCACGCACCTCGACGGGCCCCCAACTGGCGCCCATTGTGCCCGAGGATCAGAATTTGCCTGGCTGGGTACCCAAGAACTTTATAGAAAAGGGTGAGGCGGATCCCTGAGGGAAACACTGTAAAACATAATATTTATTAAATTTATTTCAGTGGTGGCCATTTATGACTACTATGCGGACAAGGATGATGAGCTCAGCTTCCAGGAGAGCTCGGTGCTGTATGTGCTGAAGAAGAATGACGATGGCTGGTGGGAGGGCGTCATGGATGGCGTGACCGGCCTCTTTCCGGGCAACTATGTGGAGCCCTGCGTCTAATTAGAGCTGCTGCTGCTGCGGCTGCGGCTGCTTCGTATTCTAAAAACATGCCAACCCATTACAATAATCTGCATTATCTGGTCTGTTCCCGTCTTCAGTCGTTCCCAAAGGATATCCCAGAACTTTACTAAACTCTTTTTGTGTGTGTTTCTTTGGAGACTCTGAAGACCGGAACAGACTCGTTTGACAATGACGATAACGATTTTGAGCATATTTTGATAAGGACAATTATACAATTACACATACACACACACAAACACACATACATAGGCACAAGCCGCGAGAGAGCAAGTATTCCATTAACAGACATCAGCCTCAAGCTGCATTTAGTCTAATATCAAGCCAAGCACAGGATCCATTGTCCACGCTCTGAATTGCTGAATGGGAGATTCGGAGCACATTTGTGACCGCATTTAGCAGAGCCCAGAGCCCAAAGCCTGCTGCAAACTCAAACTATTTACACTTTAGTAGCAGAAAATATTGCAAAAAGTTAATAATTAATAACGAAAGACATTCGAAGCCTATATTTAGACGAATTCATGTCCTGACCACCCAAACCCGACCGCATCCGCAACCAATCCAAATATTTGCCCACAGTTATGTCAAGCGATTTTTCTTTGTTTGTTTGCCTTCCGCTTGGATTAAAATTTTTACCCCCCCTTGGATCGGCCCAGTCCATCCAGCAATAATGCCGTAGGTTATATAAATTTCAGTTAGCATTTAATTCGTTAGATATGCGTATTCGTTTGCGTTTTGCTTTTGCCTTTGTCTGCACTTTTAAGAACCGCAACGAGAATATATAAATATTTTTTGCAATTAAATATTTAGTCGAAATGGAATATGGAAAATGGAATTGCCCAAAAACGGAATCAAATCAAATCTATACACAATATGCAAAACGCTCTACCATGTACTCGTACCCCTATTTGTATTCGTATGAATAATAGCTAATAAAAAATTTCAATTACTAGACCGTGCCAGTCCTTGTACACACTTGACCGTGCAATTTGTCGTGACCTTCACGTGTGTGTGCGCGCCCATAAAAGAAAATTTGTTAATTGGAGGGAGGCCCTGCCAAAATGTGAAATGCAAATGAAAATCCTTGGACATGCATCCATTCGGGGGAGTGATGGATGGGGATGGGAGGTATACATGGATATAGGTATGCCAACATTCCATTTATTTAGGCCACTCGCCCGAATCAGTCAATCAATCAATCATAATCGTTTCCCCAACAACGAAATCGACATGCTGCTCCATAAACATGTATGCATTTCAATGTCTTGTCCTGTTTTCCCATGGAAAACTTTAAGTTTGCATCAAGGAAATGTACGACTTCTCGGTGATATGTGGAAAATACGCTCGCATTTATTATTTGGGGGAAATACTCGTAGTAGAAGTTGAAGTTGATGTGGCGGAAATGCCTCGCCATTTGGACGTGCCGTCCGACAGACGATTGTGTTAGAGTGATTTGCATAAAATGTGCTGAGAGCCGCGAGAATGCCTTACTTATTTGTCGACAATTATTAAAGTGGACCTCAACAAACGCCAAGCAAGAAATAGTTGTTCGGATCCGACACTTGACCGGCGCACGAAGCGAGGAACGCTCAACTCCTGCTCAAACTCCACCTGAAATGTATGCAAAATGGCGCATTAGCATTTCAACAATTCACAAACGAAAAACAACCCAAAAGGAAGAACCCACACACCCACCTCCCTCGTGCCGTGCCGTCTCTGCCACCCAACCCCAGCACTTGGGCTCGGGGCAGGACACGTCCGTGCTGTGCCTATAATTTCGTTATTTCTGACCAGTTGAGTGTGGTCCGTCGTCGCGAAAGGTTCAGTTCAAGCCGCTTTGCAACTCGGAATTTCATTTTTTTGTAGCCCGAGCCGCAACTGATTCGTCCGTTCACCGGTTTAGTTTCACCTTCCGTTTTCAAAAATCTTTTTGACGGTAAAGTTTTTTCCGTTTTCGGGTGCAGTGACACAGCAAATACCAAGGACCAAAGCGGATATAACGAAACAAAACTATTTGTAAGTGCGCCATTTTGCAGAGGTGCTTCAGAAGTTGTTATCAAATGTTTTCTATATATAATCGATCTTTGAGTCGTCCGTTCTGCAAATACAAGAGAGCCGTGTTCCATGAATGGGGAAACTCTGCAGGAACCGCATTTAATTGACCTACTTGGGGGTTGCCCTATCCTCGGAGTCGCATTTGCCTTCAGCTCAACTGTAAAATATTACATTATTTCATGTCAGAGATTGGGGCCAGACCCCCGTACCCAATCCACCAATCCTCAGTCTCGTAGCCAGCCATTGGCCATTTTGTTGTGTGCCGAATGTGTGAGATATGCGAATACTTTTCGGCCCGACTGTATTTACCAACAATGCGGACAAGTTGGCCCACTTATTGGCTCAAGTTCTTGAGACTTTATCACGCACAGCATTTCGCTACATACCACACGTTTTCATGTTTCCTCCCCCCTTCACTCCGCTCAACTTAATGAAGGTTAAAGTTTTCGCACTTGCATGACGTCACTTAACCTGGAAATGCAGCGCAACAGCAGCCAGGGGGGCTGGTCACTTTACTCGATGAGGATGATAAAAATAGCCAATGGCCACGGCGCTGCCCAGAGAAATGGCTTTCGTGTAATTAAGTAAATCCTGTCCATCAATCACACAGGACTGCTGCGTATACGCAACGTTCTCCCGAGGGTAATTACAGTCTAAAAAACCTTTGGGCAACTTTGGTTGAACTGTGATTAGACGGGGGTGGAACCAGACAAGCGTGCCGAGTTTTCTTTTGAAACCATATACAACTGCTCCAACGATTTGTCAAACATTTCCAATAGGAAAATCTGGTAAACACATTTGTTGAGTCTATAAATTTAAGAAGACATTGAAATCACTGCTTGATTTACATTGGAGTGGGTTCTTATGGGCATTTTACTTCTTCGTATCAATATACATTGCAAGCCCCGACTAATTAAGGTTTAGTTTTCTTTGTTTTATTTGGATCCCAATTTGAAGTATTTGTTAGGCTTTGTCGGATCAATGGTTACAGTCGAAATTTGCCTATTCTTCATTAGACTTCTCATGTCCTACAATTTTCAATGATTTGTCAATGTTAATCTCTGATTTTTATAAAAGAAACTCCATTTGACAGTTGGGAACATTCGAAGCCTTTGAATTACATTAATTTTACTTGTTTTTTTGAATAGTTTCTGCATATATATACCCTTTGGGTTTATTAGTCCACTTTTAGAGTTAAAAACTTTGGATTATTTTGATGTAATGGCTGCTAATAGGTACTGCTTTTTTAAGGCCATATTTCAATTATTTTTTTAACGTTTTAGTGTTTAATTTCCCAAGTAGGATCTTTATCTAAAGCCTCTATTTACCTGGACAAACTCTTTGTTGTGTCTTTTCATTGTTTGGCTCATTAGGCGGCCTATGAAAATCATTAACCATAAAGAGTCTTTGCCACACGCTATTATTTATCTACGGATTGATGCGTTGGAAGTGCCTTCCCCCTGCGATAGTATAGGACTCTGAACCCAGTGGAACAGTGGATCCAGCTCATAAAAGGCACTCAAATAACCACTACCCCTGTTCCAATTCCCACTCCCGATTTCCACTAATGAGCTCCACTATAGTTGAAAAAGAAAACTAAAACGAGGGCGGCCTGTGGTATACAAATATTACCACCTCATTGCCGGGGATCGGGGTTCAGTAGCCCACGGAGAGAGGCAAATCAAAACGCGCCACACCAAAACATTAAAAACATTAGCAACAAAGGCAGACAAAGCCAACCACGCAGCGCTCCCCACGTAGTCCATCCGCCCATTCAACCACTCAACCACCCATAGCATTCCACAGGATATGCCTCCACATGGGCAGTACGCCAGGAGTTCAGCTGTCCACTGGCTGTCGTGTCTGCTGGCAATTTACACAAATTCAATAAACGACAAAAGCCAGTCATACTCGACTCGTGGAATATGAAACGAGAACTGGGAAAAGTGTTGAGGTCCCTCCACTCGCGGTTTGCTTTGGACTCTTTTTTTTGGTGGGTTGGATTTTGTGTGGGAGGATTGGTTTGGCGCTCTCATTAAACTATTTGAATCGATTTTACGTAGTATTATCAAATTAGTTGTGTTGTGGCGGAATCCCTCATCGTTCAACGCGCCCCATTGGTCGCAGTGGAGAAGTCCCTCAAGAGTGTCCCCTACTCGCCTCTACTGCCATGTCCCTTATTGTTGACACTCGAGGCCCGTAATTTGTGTACATATTTGAGGAGAAAGTGCCGCGGATGCTTTCTGGGCTGTTCCATAACATATTCATGACAGCCACTGGACATGGAATTAAAGTTAATAATGTATTTTCACTTGGCACCCACAACACAACTTCGATGGTCACACACGTTTTATAATTAAGCAGCTCTCAGCTAAATTAAATAGTTATGGGAGGGGCTGAAGCGACAGTTTGTGGAGGGAAGCTCAGAGGTAGGTAAATAGGTTTTGGAACAGGCCATCTAATGGATAATGTGATGGACAGCAAAACAAAAGTTGGAAACTAGATTGTAGCTGTCAGTTGATTCCATCATTGACACGAAGACTTTGGATAGTTAAAGAACTTTGGGAATATGCGTTTTGGATTAGAAGAACTTGGAACAGGTAAACATTAACATCGGATAATGGTCCGTGGGGGTGTTGGATGAAAGGAAAGGAAAACAGGGGTTCCAAAATCCATTGATCCTTCCCTTAACACTATTATTTCGTGAGTGTAAAATACCCAAAAATATATGCCAGAATAACCTTCCAGAAGCTTTTAGTGCTTAAACCTTGAAGGTGTTTTAAACCCTAGTGGATAGGTTCATGGGACTTTCCCAGTTCATTGAGTGTTCCCACTCCCGTCGAATAAACTTCAATGATTTGCATGCCAAGACACGCAGAGAGGTGTTTCGGGGTATTCAAGTTCACGGCTTGATTTATGGCTCACGCCAACTCCTCCAGAAGGTAAGCGGGACCCTAAGGACTCCAAGGTGCCCCTGGCCCATGCTTCGAACTCATTCGGGGCAAGACCTTGGCGCGAAAATTTACAAATCCATTAGGACAGCTCGCCAGCGAGGGTGTTGCCGGGCTGATGACATTTTTACGATTGTTGACAACAAATTGACACAATTTGTAATGGTTTTGTTGGTTCCCCATCACCCATCACCCGTTATCCGTCACCCGGCAGGTCATCAGCCAGGCCAGGCGGCACGTGTCCAGCGAAGGGCATTCGTCCAGCGACCATCAATTGGATATGGCGGCCAGTGCGGGAGCTGGCAGCTGGTCGGGCAGTAGCGGAGGAAGCACATCCTCCCAAGGACGAGCCATTGCAACGGCCCAAACCGGACAGGATGAGCGTCTAGTGGTAGGTCGAAGCACGAGATGATATCCACAGGGATATTTAATCCGGAATCCTCTTATTTTAGGTGGCAGTTCGAGTACGTCCCAGTTTGGAGGCCGCTGAACGCTGCATCGAGGTGATCTCCGGAGGATCGCTGCTGTACGACGATGGCGGCAAGAATCGTCCGCGGCAGTACTCGTATGACCATGTGTTCCGGGAGAACGACACACAAGAGCAGGTGTACAAGACAACAACGGCGCCCCTGGTGCGAGATGTCCTCAGCGGCTTCAATGCGGCCGTGTTCGCCTACGGAGCCACTGGATCCGGCAAGACGCACACCATGCTCGGCCCTGTGCCGCGCAAGAAACCAGCGACGGGTGACCGTGCCCCGCCCACCGCCACCGCCGCCGGGTGTGAGGCGGATGTAAGCAGCCAGGACATTGGGCTAATGGTGCGCGCCATCGAGGATATCTTTGCGCACATCGAGTCCGTGGAGGGGGACGGGGCCTGCAAGGTCTCCATCTCGTATCTGGAGATCTACAATGAGCTCATCCGCGATCTACTGAATCCGGGCGGACCGCTGGAGCTGCGCGAGGATAATCGCGGACAGCGGATCACGGTGGCCGGTCTGTCGGAGATCACCACGTCCAGCCGCAAGGAGGTGGTGGGGCTGCTGCTGAAGGGAAACAAGGCTCGGACCATGGAGCCGACGGCCGCCAATCAGACCTCCTCCCGCAGCCACGCCCTGCTCAGCATCACGGTGCAGACGCACACTCCGCTGGGCACCAAGCAGGGGCGTCTCTTCCTCACCGATCTGGCCGGCTCAGAGCGGGCCAAGAAGACCAAGAACCGGGGCAAACGACTCCAGGAGGGAGCCCACATCAACCGCAGTCTCCTGGCGCTGGGCAACTGCATCAACGCGTTGTCCGGCGGCGCCCGCTACGTCAACTACCGCGACTCCAAGCTCACACGCCTGCTGAAGGAGGCACTGAGCGGCCGCTGCAAGACGGTCATGATCGCCCATGTGGCGCCCGAGAGCAAGCACCGCGATGAGACGAAGAACACCCTCGTGTACGCGGATCGGGCCAACAGCATCACCACCAAGCTGCAGAACTCTGTGTACATTGACGAGTTCAAGAACTTCCCCACCAAGCACTACCAGAGCCTGGTCTCGGAGCTACGCGACGAGGTCTCCCGCCTGCGCACCAAAATGCTGACCGATCGGCCACGCAGCGGAAAAGCAGCAGCAGCCGCAGCGACGATGGCGATGGCGATGCCGACGACAGCCAGCATCCAGCAGCCTCCAGTCGAGGTTGAGGAGCCGGACGATCAAAGGAAGACGGAGCTGCGGTACTTGCGGGAACAGATCGTGCTTACCTTCAAGCAGCAGATGAAGCTACGCCGCAAGCTGCTGGAGGCAGAGAGTCATCTGCTGGGCCTTGAACTGGACGCCGAGCGGCAGCATATGATCATCTCCCACTGGCAGGGACGCATTGGCAAGCTCTACGATGCCATGGGCGAAGATGGTAAGTATTCTTTGATGCTGCTCCTTGCAGAGGATTGATATTTCCTCCACAGATGTCGAATCGGAGGGCTCGGTGGCCCTGAAGAATGCCTGGGGCGAGCTGGCGGCCATTGAGAAGGAGAACAGACGCTACAAGGAGATACGCGAACGCACCGAACAGGAGCTGGAGCAATGTCGGCAGAAGGGCGTCAAGCTGGAGGACGTGAGTTTTCACAGTTTCCATATTGTGCCGCAGACTTAATTAGCTTTCAATTTCAGGAGCTGCCAGAGCGGATCACGAGCGACGAGGAGCGGGAACTGCTGGCCCTGCTTTGTCGCGTCCACGAGCTGGAGGCGGACAAGGTGTCCCTGCAGGCGGAGCGACTGGCCCGCCAAGCGGAGCTGCGACGACGTGACCTACAGCTGCTCCGGGCTGAGCGGCAACGACGCCTGTGCGAGGACATCATCAGTTCGCAGCGGCGGCTCATCGAGGAGGGAAACGTGGATCTGCCGGACGAGCTGCGTGAGCTCTACGGCCTCTATCAGCAGGAGATTCATGCGGGCGTCGTCACGCCCAGCACCAGCAGCTACGAGAAAAAGCTGCCGCCCATCTACACAGCGGGGTAAGAGTCAAGTCCCCTTCTGCAATTGGCTCTATGTCCAATGATCCATTTTGCATTTCACACAGATCCGATTCACCAGGCTCTAGCTCCAGCTCGGAGTGGTCTCCGGCCTCTCCTTTGCCGCCCATCGAGATCCACGCGGATCCTGTGGATCGCGTGATGGGTCCGCCCGTAAATCCACGTCTGCCCCGACTAGCCACTGGCACGGCAGGTGGTCCACGACGTTCATCTCTGCGAATGGCCAGGAATACGCATTCGCGGCCGCACCCGTAGGAACGATGGCAGTCCAGGTGCAGTGAACTGGAGGTGCTCAGGAATAGTTGTTACTAAGGGTTAGGATTACACGCGTGTAGGGTGGGTCACCCTGCAGACGGTTTGCTCGAAAAGCTCTACCTAATTATTGTATTATATCTCTTACCAACTTATATCTTATAAACTTATACGTATCTTTGATCATATGAATAAACGAATGGAAAGCTTAAATGAGTGGATATTGCCAGTTAAAGTCACCCAAAGGGCAGATACATATTCTGAAATTCTACTATAGAATCGGTTTTACACTACAGGACCCTCTACTAGGGTAAGATAATCGTGTGTGCTAGTTGTAACTCACTTCACTAAAGAACTTATGGGATTCTTAGTGCATTTCCTAGTGCGATTTTAGAAAGGTGAAGAGTCTGTAGGCCAACTGCATGATCTGAAAATGAACAAAAGATATAATACAGACGATCTTTATTCGACTTTATCCACTCACATCGGTAAAGTGCACCATATTGATTTCGATCAAACCAAAGGCGCCGAGCTTCTGGGTGCGCTGCGAGTACTGCAGCCACAGCAGAAAGAACTTGCGATACCTCCTGCTGCCCATGTACCAGGCCTGGTCACTTAGCGCTGACTCTAGGCGAGCAGACTGTCACAGGAAGGAAGGGGTTAAAGAATATTATTAACGGACTTAATTAGATGACTCACCGCATCCTCTAGCTGGGTACCCCGCAGACAGATCTCAAAGGTGAATGCGACCAGAACCATCGTGGGAATAACATACTGGACCATTATGAACAGATCCGTTGTTTCCGAGATCATGAAAAGATTTAAGCAGAGCGATCCGGATCCTATGAAATTGCTCAACAAAAAGGCCACCTTGAAGATGTCGTTGTATTGAGCGCACAGCCGATTCAGGAGCTGCTGACGCTGCACTAGAGTCCTTAGGTGTGCAAAGAATTCAACTTCATTGGTCACACTGTCCACGGGATTGATGGCCTCCAGGTGTCTGCAGAGATGATCCAGATGCATGATCAGGTGCCCCTGCATCACGTTGAACAGATTGTCGAAGGTTATGAAAAAGGATACCCCGCAGGCGGTGCACGACACGTCGAACAGCCACACTAGAAGAAAGAATCTGGGGTTTCTCCTCAGGTCGAAGGGCATCCAGCCGCCGAGGAGTTGCTGGTGCTGGGTTATGGGCGCCCCGAGGCCCTCGTTGGTCAGCAGATAGACGGCCAGCGGCAGGATGCAGAACATCGGCCCTGCCAAGTGTACATAGACCCGCAGGAATCGATACCGCTGCCAGAAGGAGCTGTATGTGCGCTCCAGGCGCATTTCCTTCTGCCGGTCAATGTCCAGGGGGCACTCCCGATCCAATGCATTGACAAAATCGATAATCTCGCGACGCTTCACGAAGAGCATCAGTCCCCGGATCGAAAAGTAAATTGTGATGCTAAGCACGGGTGGGTTCTGATTGTGGGGCCTGCCCATAAACACATTGCCGATGATGTCCCAGCCGTTGAACAAGAAGAAAATCACATTTAAAATCGCTGCTATCCAAAAGCCTATCGAGGAGGAGTTCACCAGACGATTGTCCCCATCCCGCTTCCAGTCGAAGTGCACAAACCGGGTCCACTGCTGGAACTTTTGAGTCCTTAGAAAGTCCTCCATCCTGATTGGGTTCCTTGGCTCGGTGTTTTTCATCGTGGCTTACTGTACTGTACTCTGGGACCTTGCCTCCAATCGGCTTATATATAGTGCCACACATCGTTGCAGTTAGTAGGGTCCTGCAGCTAGGATTCCTAACAATTAGTTAGCTGCACTGCCTCTGTCTTTGTTTCAGTGGGTTGATTCAGCTGAAATTATCAGAATAAATCAAGAGTTCTCCGCTTTTGCAATACTTTACAAACTTCACCGTTCCGTCGTGGAATTGCAGCCCTTGCCAATTATGAGAATACCTGCAATTAGTAGAAATTAACTAACAAGTGTTGAAATAATTACATGGTATGTCTGTACTTAAAGCGAATTCCATCAGTTTAGACTTTAAAGGTTTAAATCACTGGCAGCTTAAAAAATAAACTCAGTAAGAAAACAACCAATGCACGACGAGGTGTTACTGCGAAGCAACGCGACCGCATCCGTATGAAGTGAACTTTGGACCAAAAATCGCCCTTACTCAATACAATATATCTTGACATCTTGTGAACGTATTTTCCATTATATGAATATAGAACCATATTTTGAGGTTAGGTTATTTTCAGTTGCATGCAAACAAAGCTTATCGTCCATCGATAAGCGTGTTATTCAGCACTGGGAACAAACTATTTTGCGGGGACCATTTTGAGTCTGGTTTAATAATGTCGAGTTCGAACTATTGGAATATATTTAGCTACAAGAGTTGCAAGAAACACTGAAATATACTGGAAATATTCAATTGCTTGTCGGTTTTCATCACTTTCCGCGTGCACATTACTTTTGCGAGGGATAAGTAAAGTGGGAGTGCATCCTTTAAGCTGTACAAATCGCATACACAGAAGGAGCCTGCCTTCTGATTTCCTTTGTCCAGATCCTTAAAGTTGAAAAGAACGCACTGTATGCTTTAAGCTGTGTGTGCACAAATTGCAGCCCCTGCGCGCGCAGCTATGTTTTTGTATGTACTTTTTTCAATTGCCCTGTCTGGCTCATTTCCACTTAGTAATCGTCTCCCCCTCTCTCACATCAAGGCCGCCCCTCATGGACGCCGTTTTTTTTTTGTATGTGGGTCACAAGCAGCAAACATAAACAAAATAGAACGCAGTAAGAGAGTCTGTCTCGCAACAAAAGAGCAAGAGAGGTAATTTACAGTGCGCATGTCCAAAGTGTATTAATATAAGGTGTGGCTTAATACTCTTGAGTGGCCTATTCGCTGGAGTGCCATATGTGCTTCAGTTGTGGTACAGAGAACAATATAATTCAGTATGCTAAATGTTATAATGATATACTAAGTCGCTCACAAATTATAACTAAATTTGACAACCTAGTTAATAAGAGACTGTCATGTGCTCATGAAAGAGTCGACTCTGAGAGTCGTAGGTCCCTGTTGTGTTTACCGCCCTTACCTTTCATGGAATATGCACTGCGCTGGCCCTTTTGGGGTGAGTGTGTGCGAGTGAGCGAGAGGGAGAGAGCATGCGTGCTGGAAGTATCTCTGCAGCGGCAATCAAATTTTCATTATTAGATACACAGCTGTAGCTGTGTGCTGCAAGTGGTTCGTTTTTCCGTCGTTCGCTGCCTGGAAAACATACATAGTTGGATTTTCCAAGGTGCACAACGGCAGCAGGTTGCCGTCAAACAACTCGTAATCAAAATCCAACGAAAAGTGTTTCAAAACAACAGCAAAATTCTGTCGAATCAACGGAAAAGTTCCATTTGACTATTTTCCAATTAACGCTTCTGTGCGGAGGCACCGAAAATCAGGTTCGGGGCTAGAGAAGTGAAGTTGAAGTTGTTCTGCAGAGGCGCTAAAAACGGTGTATTTCCGGTTTTTTTTCAACCAAATCTGAAGAAACAGATAGAGCCATTGGATGGGGAATAGTCTTACTACGTGTGGAAAACCCAGCCAGCGTCGCGAGAGGAGGTTCTTGGAGAGGCTGAGCAACACCTACGCTCAGGTAAGTTCTCGTGACGTGGGAGTCTTTCCACCTGTCACCTGGCTGCGCAAAGTGTGGGTGGCAAAGTGCAGCGTTTGGTCCCTGACAACAGTGCAGGTTCCCTGGCAACGGTGCAGGTGAGCAGTGCAGCCCAGGGATGGTGCCTCCCCTCCCTCGACTGCAGTATGGTTATCACCCATGGCTACCAGGTCATATAGCTCTTTCAGCAGCAAACACCTAACAGATGTCCATATTTTCTACCCATTTCAGACTCACAGGAAAATAGAGTTCAGGATGATGCCGCTGCTGGGGCTGTCACGGAACAAGAAAGGTTCGTCGGCATCGCCGCCACTCTCGCCGGATAAGAAGGATCGCAGGGCAGTGCGGAAGATACAAGTCCCCATCGATATGCTGCCCAACGAGATGTGGCTGGAGGTCATGTCCTATCTGTCCTACAACGATCTCAAGCAGCTGCGGATGGTGTCCTGGCACTGCTACGACCTGGTCAACCGTCGCAAATTAATGTACCAGGGCAAGGTGATCGTGACCAGGCACAATCTCGCGGCGATCAAGGAGCATGTGGAGAATGCACCTTCGAAAATGACCTTCGAGAGGATGGAGTTGCGCAACCTGAAGCAGTCCCCGAAGCTGGATAGCTTCCTGAAGCTGGTCGGTCCGGAGGTGAGGCATCTGCAAGTGAGTCATGCGCCCGTCTTTCGCAACATAAACGGAAAGATGCCCAACCTGAAGGTGTTGACGATTGCCGCCAGCAATGTGTTTGACGACACTCTTGGGATCAACCTGAAGCAGTTCATCAATCTGGAGGCCTTCGAGTGTGACGGCGTCAGTCTGGACTCGACGCTGAAGATCAGCATGCTGCTGCAGCTAAGGAAACCCGCGAACAAGGTGCGACTTCGTCACCTGCAGTTCGAGTTCACGCACGACAACGAGGAAGTTCTGGTGGCAGTGCTCCGGGACCATGCCGAAACGTTGGAGTACATTGACATATTCTTCAGCTGTGCGCCCAGCGTCGACGTGCTGCCGTGGTGTCTGGCCTTCGAGGAAATGCGCAACCTCAGCATCCTGAAGCTGTCGGGCAACTGTCACCTGCTCCTGCTGGAGTCCATTCTTGTGTCGGTGCCGAAGGTGGCTCCGTTGCGCCAACTGGACCTCACCGGCATGCTCTCGCTGACCAACGATCTGTTCCTGTATGTGGCTTCCAAGTGGGAGTACACTCTCAAGTCCCTGGACCTCATGTTCTGCGTGCAGCTCAACAGCGCCTGCATCGATGCCCTGCGCCAACTGAGCGGCCAGCTGAAGTGCTTGACCATGGCCTACTGCCGCGAAATGACGGGCGTGGCCCTGCTCAAGGGGATTGCCTACAAGCCCAACTATATAATCCAGGAGCTGCATCTCGAGGAGGTCTGCTTCATCGACGAGGAGTCGCTGTGCGAGCTGCTCGTGCGACTCTATAATCTGCGTCGCCTCAGCCTGGACAACTGTCGGCAGGCGGTGACCGATCGCACCATGTCGCTCATCTGCAAGTACCAGACGAGTCTGCGCCAACTAAACATCGAATACTGCATCAAGATCACGGACAAGGGCTTCTTGGGCTGCCCAGAGTTTCCCTATCCCATCACCCGTCTGCGGGGACTACGCGAGCTGAACCTACGCGGCTGCAAGAACTTGACAGATCGTGTCCTGAAGGAGGCGCTGATACTGCCAGAGCTACGTGTCCTCTCGCTGGGCTATTGCTCGTTCTTCTACCCGGAGGGCTTCGAGGCGCTGACCCACAACGCACCGGCCATCGAAACGCTGTGCGTGGCCAGCTGCATGAAGGTGGACGATGACACCGTGAGACACTTTATGCGTAATCTGAAGCGCTTGCGGAGCATCAACATAAGCAACTGCATGAGGCTCACGCTGCAGTCCATTCACCATATACTGAGGCATGGGCACAACATGGTGGAGCTGATTGCATGCTCCATCGATGGCATGGACCAGGAGCAGGCCCAGCGGCTCCTAGAGAAGCAGCGCCCACAAATGAAGCAGGTGCTGCTATAGCAGGAGAGGTACATTCACTGACAGGACGTCAGAGTTCTTCCCTACAACTGGGGGAGACAGAGCTATTACGGCAGCGATGACGAGGAGGATGTTGACGTTGAGGAAATCGAAGTCGTGGTTTAAGAACAGAAGAGAACAGAAGTCCCAGTGAAATATGATGAAGCAAAGCGTCCATCGTATATACGTCTATAATCTATAAAGATACTTATCCGCTGTCACTGCACATTCGTGTAGCAATCCTTGAAGGTGAAATCTTAAAGTTGTAATCCCCATCGATCCGTTACCTTCAGATCAGCCACAACACAAGCCAAATATCGTAGCAACGTACACACAACGCGTACCTCCAACACAACACCTTCACCCACCTATCCCAACATTTCAATGTTCCATAAATCCCAAGACGAGGATCGACCTGGTCTGATTTCCCTTTACTGACCAAACAAACACTTTCGGATTGTGCAATACTAGTAGAAACAATTATGCGCTGTTTAAACAAAAATTAAGACTCTAATTTAATCAATAACAATATACATACATACATACATACCATATGTATGTACTCTACTCGTATTGTGTATAACCCATTAATCGGATGGATCCACATGCAGCACAATTATATATATATATACTCGTACACGTACACGTACATATGATATGTGCTTTTGTGTCTATACTATACAAATTATAGTCAATGAACGGCATCCAGGCTGTAGGTAGCCGAAAGAAGGTCCAATCACTTGAGGAATCACGTTATCATCGTAGGATTCCAATTCATTTGAGGGTTTCGAGCTTGATAAACGAAAGAGGCTGGTAGCATAAGTATTCAATGATATTTCAAGTTCAAGCACAACATAACCACATACACATATACGAATATATAATGATAATCCCTTGATGTTAAGTGCAATTTTTTTTGAGAAAAAAGGAATTTGTATTCCTGGGATATGCAGATTAGAAATAATTGAATTTTTGCAAGAAAAACTTTTGGAGAACTTTACTTTACGAACACTTTTGGAACGTGTGCTGGAAATTAAATTGAAATGGAAATGGAAACTATGCGTTAATTTACAACATAAGAAAATAATAGCCCTGAAAAGGGGGAATACTGTAAGGAATATCCTGCTGGTAATATATAGTACATATATACGTACATATACTGTGCTAATTTCGAAGAACTTTAATAAACATGCATATATTATTGAATGTTAGACACAATGCTGGTGTGTTTTTGTTTGTACGTGGGTTGCATCCCCTTGAGTTTTCATTCATCATTCGCTTCGATTCGATGTCGTTGATTGATGGCATTTCTCCCATCCTTCGCATGCAGTTGGCAAAAGCTTTTCAAGCTCGCCCAACGTCTTGTCGGTCGGCTGCAAGTGAAAAAGCTACCAAGCTACGACGAATCTATCCTTTCGTTTGACTCGTGCCAAATTCCACAGGGCACCGCACCTCACGCACTTTGACACCCATCGACGGGGCGTGTGACCAGAGCTTGAGGGGGGCATAGGGTGTGCCTGCTTATCGGGGGGGTTGGATGGGGGACACCAGACACGGAGTGGCAGCCTTCACTTAGCATCGTGCTAAACGAAACGAAACAAACGAATGAAATTATTATGTGGCCATAGAGAATGTCACTCGTCAGCGGCGTGGAACTACAGACCTATGACCAAAACGCATTTGTGCCAACTTTTCTCAGTTTTCCCAGCGCCTCTGCCAGCGTGTGGCTGCTCTTTTTGTTTTGCCCAAATGTAGCCTAATGCCCCCATAAGTTGCCTGCTTCATAGCCACTATGAAATATGGTTGCCAAAATACAAACAGGATGGGTGCGAGCACGGGGCGAGACGTATATTCATAATACATATACATATGTGACTGAAAGGTGCGTGGAATAACTGTAGGCATTGTGATAGATTGTCACGGAAGATCCATCTGCAGATGCAGCGCATATGATAAGCTCTTTTGCTCGTTTTTTTCGCAAGTTTATCTGTGCATTGTCCTATCAATATCCCGACTGGCAGCTACTTTATAAGGCCTCCCCTTGCGACAAAGGACCTTCCATTATTTAGTTGGAAATACTTGTAGTGCTGTTTATTAAATCTATTAAAGATTTGTGATGTTTGTGTGTAGCAACTGGAAATTCAATATGTAAGAACAAAACTTTAAAAAATAAACATTCAAATACTCAAGTAAAGAATGTCCTCTTCCATATCCCATATCTATCAGCCATCACATGTCTCCTTGCTAATTTATTCAAACACTTAGTCGCACCGTAATCATTATGTCGCGCACGTTACGCTCTCATGTGAGGGAAAACTGCGACGCTTCGTCGCTAGCTTTTAGATACAAATCTGAATGAAATGTCGCCGCTGCTTATCAGATAAGTTTGGAGCGCGCTGGAGTACGGTTGCTCTGCTGAATGGAGACGGTACACGGACACGAACACGAACACGGACTCCAAACTTGAATCGCTCGCTCTGCCGCTCTGTGTGTTTACAAGTCGAGAATTGTCGTTGAGTACGAGTACGTGTGTAGGCGACGTGCCTCCAAAATCAGAGCCAAGTCAACGTCCGGGTGCGAGTGCAGTGACGGGAACGGACTACGGAATACGGTTATCGTGGCCGGGGAACGGTACGGAAATTGGGGATCGACCTCGCCGCTTGGTAATTTGGTGCGTTTGCGTGCCAGTGGCAGTGCCAGTGCCAGTGACTTTCGAGAGAGTCAAGACGCTAGCAGACGAGTCAGACTAGTCGCTGGATGAGTCTCCGTTCGCGTCATCGAATTATTATAATTAGCATAGTTGGGGGGGACATAGCCGCAGGCAGATAAACGGCAACGGCATCGGAATTTGTCGCAGCTAGTGGAAATTTTGTGAAAACAAAAGCCGCTTTCGTAAGGGGATAAGTTCCAGTTCCGGAGCACAGGAATATGCCCGACGCCGACACCCAATCGGAGATCCTGGCCAGCGCCAGCGCCACCGACGACAACGGTCCACTGTGGACGGCTGGGAATGTGAGCCAACTGCTGGGCCCGGCGCGCGATTCGCTGTCCATTGTGGTGCCGGTGACGGTCGTCTACTCGCTGATCTTCCTCAGCGGCGTGGTGGGCAACATCAGCACCTGCATCGTGATCAAGAAGAATCGATCGATGCACACGGCCACCAACTACTACCTCTTCTCGCTGGCCATCTCCGATTTCCTGCTGCTGCTGTCGGGCGTGCCTCAGGAGGTGTGGTTCATCTGGTCCAAGTATCCGTACGTCTTTGGCGAGTACTTCTGCTTGGGACGCGGTCTGCTGGCCGAGACCTCGGCCAATGCCACCGTTCTGACCATCACCGCCTTCACCGTGGAGCGGTACATAGCCATCTGCCACCCCTTCCTGGGGCAGGCCATGAGCAAGCTGAGTCGTGCCATCCGCATTATCGGTCTCGTCTGGGCCCTGGCCGTGCTCACCGCCATACCACAGGCGGCCCAATTCGGTATCAACAGCTACGCGGGCGTGGACAAGTGCGTGGTGGTGCGCGTCATCGTCGAGCACTCGTTCCAGCTCTCCACCTTCATCTTCTTCTTTGCGCCCATGTCCATTATCTTTGTGCTCTACCTGTTGATCGGACTGCAGCTGTACCGCTCCAACCTGAGCGATGGCCCAGCCCCAGCCGCAGCATTGGCGCCGTTTAGGAGGTCACAGCTCAAGAATGTGCAATCGGACACAATCCTGTACCGCTATGCCGGCTCCAGCTCAGCGGTGAACATCAATGGTGGGACCGGCTCAGGCGCCCAGCTGAGCTCCGTGCGGGGCCGGCTCAATCACTATGGGACACGGCGTGTGCTGAGGATGCTCGGTAATTATGCAGCCCTGGGGTAGACAAGACCAGACCAGACCAACCCAGACATCGGGCCATATGCCATAATCGTCCTAAGCTTGTTAATCAGTCGCTCTCCAGCCAATTTATTGCGTTTGTCATTTGTCATTTGTCGTTTCTCATTTATGATTATGGCGATTGCCAAAAAAAAACGTCCAAAAAAGAGTCCAGCATTTCATTCACTTTTTATCTGTCTCCTGGCAGTGGCTGTGGTGGTCTGCTTCTTCCTTTGCTGGGCCCCCTTCCATGCCCAGCGTCTGATTGCCATCTATGCCCCCGCCCGGGGCGCCAAGCTGCACGAACAGCACGAGCTCCTCTACACGGTTATGACATATATCTCCGGGGTGCTCTACTATCTCTCCACCTGCATCAATCCGCTGCTCTACAACATCATGAGCAACAAGTTTCGCGAGGCCTTCAAGGTATGGGTAATTTTCTATCGCACTGGATCTATCATCCAATAACTATCCCTCATTGCAGGCTGTGCTCTTTGGCAAGAAGTTGTCCAAGGGTTCGCTGAACTCTCGCCACCACATCGAGTCGCAGCGGCTGAGGAGAGCGCTCAACTCCTCCAGCCAGACACAGCGCGTCTCCATTGAGTCGGCGGAGGCGCAACAGTCGAAACAGACACTAACGCAGGTGGGTGGTACCCTGCTATCAATGTATCAATTACCTCTCGACTACTTTCTCTCTCTCAGACTCCGCTGCATGATCGTCAGGCCCCGGCCAAGCCGCCGCTCGCCTCCCAGTATGCCATGATCAATGCCCAGAGCAACTAGAGGGCAGACTGGAGGCAACTCAATCTTCATCTAGCTCACCGAACCGCTTGCTTCCTAATGCTAATTTATTTGAATATTGTTTAAGCCAGATTGTTAGTTAGTCACTTGTTTTTGTCTTTACTAATTCCACAGCTATGGCCGCTGCTGCTACCAAAGCGTTTAGTACAAGCTGCATTTGCAATCATTTGCCTTGCAATTAGACCTTAATTACTCTCTACTCTCTGTCTATATATTTATCTACTGTAACGATTTTCATTCATTTAGAATCAGAATCAGTGTCGGCACGAGTACGCCTGAGCTAGTCTTTCGAGCATTAAGATTTACGACTATTTAGTTTAAGAATAGTATTCAATGTGCTTCGCTCTCTGCAATTAACTTAATGGCAACACGCCTAGTGGGTATTTGCGCTGGAAAGAAAAGCCTTGCAGACTCAAGAATATTTAAAAAAGAAAACAAATATCTACGATATCCAAACAAAATCCAAATGTGGCACAAATATTCGATATGTAGATCCGTAATTTCTAAGAAAAGTCATTGACACTTTTTAAAAGCAATTTCAGTTGCAAGTCAACTAAATATAAAATTCAATTCATAGTTTCAACAGTGTCAATAAGGTATAACCGCTGCTGGAAAATATATATGTATGTAAATTCCTTTCAAGTCGTTGTATTTAATACAATCGTAGGGCCTACCGCATTCTGCCTGCCTTCATTTCTGTATCAGTTCACTTTAACAAGCCTTAAAGCCAGCGAATTATCAGCAAAATACATTTAAAGATTGATTATAATGCATTGACTTTATTGAACAGCCAACGCTGTTGAATCAATGGGAATTGAACCCTTGAGGAATTATAATGAACGGATATACCCAAATTATTCCACAAATAAAACTTAGCATATTCCCATAGCCATTTGCCTTTTTTTCCGCATCCCCGTATCGCTCTCCCTTTAGCCACTACTAAGGATTCGCCGTGCTCTAGCTTCAAATGTAATTTGGCCATAAATATATTTGGGTTTTGTATCGATTGTCGCCCTGTCGTCTGCCCGACTACAAATGAAATTCTAATGAGGTGCCAGGCGGTTGGTTCAAGGTCATGCAAATGCACGGACTACGTGGCGCATTAGTAATCCTGCAAATTGTTATGAAAATGCAATCAGCCAAATGGATGCCAGTGGCCCCCTTTGATTTGTATCCGCAGACCCGCAGTCCCGCAGAGGAGAGGTTGCATAGAGGACCTGTCCGTTACCGAGCGTTAGTACGTCGCAAATGCGTCAAAGTCCAAAGCGCAGCGGGGCCATAAAGGAACCCACAACAATCAGGCCAACAAAAAAGCGAGAGTGAAACAGTCAGTTGGATAAAAACCACACCAAATTGTACGTTCCACCAGCGTCACGTCACGTAAAGCCGAAAGAAAATATATATCACAGACACACATGCCTGCAAAAATGACGTAGAAATTATGAAGTTTTGTGATTTACGAGCGGAAAGCAGCAGGAAGGAAAACGCGGAAAATATGTTTAGGTTAGAGTACCGATGGTTTAGATACCCTTGCTGTTTTATTTACATACACTACATACATACATGTATATGTATATCTGTAGGTCCAATGGCAGCTAAAAGGTATTTAAGCTGATTCGATGTGGATCAACTTTGGTTTAATTACTTAATTAATACATATGTATATGTAAAACTTACATGTGTAACGCTTTGTTTTGCTAACTTCAAAAGTGCAAAAGTCTTGTCTTGTGAGCTATTGTTCGTATGATGATTTATATATATACATATGTATATATAAACTTCAAATCATATAAAACTGTTACTTTGTTGGAAATATGTTAAGTAAACCATGGTTTTACCCATTACGATTACGATGGACACCTCCGATGATTCATATGCCAACAATACTGTCCTTAGCCTTAGTGAGTTCGGATGATCTTTGTGATTCCGACTAATCTACTCGTATATAAAACAATGATTTGTAGTTCGGCCAACAATATTTACACTTTAATGTGTCAAAATACCATTAATTTCTTTGCTGAACTCATACAAACAATACGCCGCGTATAATGCAGGGATATAAAAAAAAGCCCCTGGAAAAAGTTAGACCAAACAAAATTTCTAACAGCATTTAACGCGCTACAAGTTTAGGCACACACCCACACAAACTCACACAAACAAACTTTAGCACGTACAACACACATACACACACAAGGCAGGAAGGAATCCTCACACACGGACACACAGAGAGAGGGCGAGAGGGAGCAGGATGAACCAGCAAAACAATAGAGCAAGAAAAACTACCGGAAAGGGAAGGCAAAAAACAAGCCCCACCCCTACCCCAAGAACTAAGCTTAGTAAGCTCAACTGCCAACAGGTGGCGCTGACGCCAGCGTGGGAATTAATCAAAGCGAAAAACATAACGGACATCAAACAAGCCACCAGGCAGGCAGCGACCAGGCCACACAGCTGTGGTTGGCTGGGTTTGGGTGGACCATGTTAGTCGGAATTATTATGGCAGTGAACTGTTTTTTGTGGAAACTACTGCCACAGTGGGTTCATGATTTAATGTCCATACCTCAAAAAAATTATACAATTTATTTAACATCAAGAAATAATAAAGGCCCATTAGTTAACGTCCCATTCCAGCCCTCTTACAGAACGAAAGCTTTGTCCTAGCAAGTATATTTAAAGCTTTTCTGTTTTCCATTGGGAAACAGTTTCCATTGTGAGACTAGCAACCGAAACATTGACAGCTTCGTATTTGTATTTGCATTCTATTAATTTTTCTCAATCGCAGTAACCTCTTTTAACGCTTCCATCGCACTAGCCTGGATTTTTTTCAGTGAACAAATTTATTTGTAGGACTGGGAAATTGGGGGAAAAATCAGTACCAAGTCGAGAGCGGAACGAAGCACATCGTGACGAGAACAAAAAAACCAAAAACAAAACCAAAAAATTATTTTTCTGAAAATAAAGTAAGAATTCAAAATTATTTTTTTGTAAAAAAAAAATTAAAATAATCTTCGGTAACATTTTCAGATGGCCAACGCTATCAAGAAGGTCATTCCCATGCTGGACCGCATACTGATCCAGCGCTTTGAGGTGAAGACTACCACTGCTGGTGGCATCCTGCTGCCGGAGGAGTCGGTGCCCAAGGAGATGCAGGGCTTGGTGGTGGCCGTTGGACCCGGAGCCCGTAACCCTGCCGGAGCTGGACACCTGTCCGTCGCCGTCAAGGAAGGCGATCGTGTCCTGTTGCCCAAGTACGGGGGCACCAAGGTTGACATGGACGACAAAAGGGAGTACGTGCTCTTCCGCGAGAGCGACATCCTGGCCAAGCTGGAGTAAGGGATGGAGCGGCGATCCCTACACAACCACACATACACATACATAGACATGTACGTACACACACACACACTGTTCGCATACTTGCACACACATACCGGCGCAGCGAAAAAACTCATTTCAATTTTTCTACTGCTCTACTTGCGTTCGATTTTAAATGATTATCATGTGTTGAATGCTTATTTAGTATCTTGGACACACATTTTGGACACACAACTGTACTCGAACCACACATGCATATGTAGTGCATCCCACTGCACTAAATGGGATGAATGCGTTGACCGCACTTGGCCGCCACATACCATTTTATGTTTATGTTATAAAGCTTTGAAATAAATAATAAAATACTGAAATATTTCTAAATCACTAGGAGAAGGCAAACAGTGAAAGCTCTTTTAGGTAGGAGATGATGGCAAGAAAATATCAGAGGAGGAAAGCTTTAAGCTAAAATATTTACATTAAATGTGGGACATTTCTGAAATATTTTTGACATTTGTGAACAGTCTACTTGGTTATACTTTTACCAGAGTTTGCAGTCCAAATTGAAATGAAGCTCGTTCCTGTTTAAAAACTATAGAGTTTCCAGCTTGCAGAGTTGCCACTGTAATTAAAAGTTAATCCTTGACGTCAGCCACAAAATAAACTCTTTTTTGCGTGGGGGGCCCCCCGAGCTGCAGCAACTTCAACTACGGCGTGTTTTATAGCTTCGCCTTTGCCGGAGGTTGTGGAGACGAATCTGACTCCCCTACGACTACGCACCTGGCACACCAACACAAACATCCACATGCCAGCCCACTCAGCGCCAGTCTGCTGTCCATGGGGCAGGCAGGCAACCAGGCAGCCAGGCAAGTAGCCTGTTGCGTGGGCGCCTCTCTCTATGCTCATTGGCGGCGCTAGCCTCGTCTTTCTTCGTGCCCGACTGCCCGATTCGGGTTTCGGGCTCTGCATTGGCTATCCGTGTTATCTTTTGGCGCTCTACTGGTGCCATGCTGGTTGCATGCCTCCTCTACGAGTAGCTATAAAAGCCGTTGGTCGACCACATTTTGTTGGCAATTCGAAAAGTGTTGGCAGCAAACTCTGATCAACAAGTGCTGGAGGTGAAAAGTGCAGAAAGTTGAGCAAAAGTTCACAAAGTTTTGGAAAATATTCCAAATTAGAAAAGACATTGGAAAAATTTGAAAATTAACACAGTTTTAAGTGCCGGATTTTTGGATCTAAATTTGCTTGAAAATGTGGTACATGAAGTGCAGTTGGACTTTGTTGGTTTTTGTGGCACTGTTTGCCCTGGTGACAGGTAAAATGATTTCAGAAAATTCTAGAATAAATATTACTATTATTTTCCCTCTACATATAAATCATAAAAGCGTTGTTTTTAATTTCATTAAAAATTGGCTAAAAATCCATTGAAAATAAAGTGTCCTTTTCTGAAGCATACTTTTAGGCACCTGCAAATGGTGAAATTCTTATTTCCGCTTGAGTCAGTTGCTGCCGCGTCATGATCATAAATGTTTCTAGGAATTTCCTAGCTTATCGTACCATAAAAATACCAAACTACCAACTGATTAACAAGCGATAGTCTGGTTTTGCCATATCCCCAATCCTGCACTCCCCATTCATTTGATCCCATTGCCACAAATCCGTCTTATCAGCTTCAGTTTTATGCACATTTTCCTGTTGATACGCCTTTGTTTGTTCGTTGCTTCAGCGGCTTCCCTTTTAGATTTTCTCTATACAATTTCTTACTCACCGCAAAAGGCCAAAAGGACAGCAGGGAATCAGGGTGTAAAGAACATGGAGAAGCATGGCACAGAGATCATGGGCGGCTGGGCTTACCTTTTTGGACGGACCCTCCCTCACTCCAAATGCGTCGACGCTTTCAATTGCTGTCGTAAATTAATCCAAACTGCGTACCAAATAACAACCGGCAACCGACAATGGTAAGCGGCACAGCCACGGTGGAAATGGAGACCGATAGACTAAGAGACAGCGGGAAATTCAGCGGGAAAAAACCCAAAGCGAACGTGTGAACCCATCAAGCTGTGCCGCTTGCAGGCATTGCAGTTGTGGGTGGCATTCCGTGTCCATCCCCCACTGCTGGTGGTGGCAGTGGCGAAGTGGTGGGGGCAGAGATTGGGCATAGACGAAAGCTAAAAAAGTTGGGCGTTTCAGTGGATGAAGGTGAAACCAAAAATGATATGCATGCAAATTGGGTTAGGTTCAGGTCGAAATGCGCATTAAAAATGATCATAGAAAAGAACAATTGGAGTTGTTTGGGATTGAAAGTCATTGCAAAATCAATATGAGTTCTCTGGCGTATCTGATTACAAAAACAAAATTTCTAAGCTCAATCCTATAAATACAAATATTAATGATTATGAGCAAGTGTAGGGAAATCGTAACTTTATTAGCCACTATATGATCTCATCGAAATGATTTTATGTGAAAGATCCATTAGCTTACAAGGGATTATTTCGTAAGTAGGGTTCTATGTGCAATTTTTAGAGCTAGAGAAAAAACAGAGATCTGTTGGCACTTGGCAGAATTCTAAGCACGAGTGGGGTTTGAGGTTATAAACAATTTTGTTCACACCTGATTGATGGAAATAAATGTACTGAATGTTCAGTTATATCCCTTAGACAAAGAGCATCTCACACTAATAACACTTAAGTACAGGTCTGACCAGAACTGCCAGCTAATAATCACATAAGATAAGCAAACCCATCTGTAATGATGCTCAAACGCAAATGTGTCTGCCATAAATGATTAAAATCAACTTTACCACTTTACGACCTTTTTCTGGTGAATCCCCAAACCCCCAATTAAACAAAAACTCAGATGGTCTCCGTCAGATATGGCTGCACTTCACTTCACTTAGGTACTTGTGCAAAAAAGACCATTAAAAGTGGGTTCAAGCAAATTGTTTTGAGTTGAGGCTATTAAAAAAAAAGACGCCAACGCGAATCTAGAGCTGACCAAGATCAAGGATATGACCATTAAAAAGGAGGGTCACGTTAATTAGGTGATGGTGAAAGCCTTGGAGAGATAGAGAGAGAGAGAGGAAGGATGGTCGATGGTCTGTGGGCGGCTGTTAAACGGAGCCTTCGTTTAATGACAGCCCTTCGATGCGGCGCCCCAAAAGGCTTCGAGAGCTGGCCCCGCTATCTCTGATGGCCTCTATGCCTGTCAACAAGTGTGCGTGTGTGCATGTGTGTGTGTATGGTGCTTGTATTGGTGTATCTGTGAGTGCCCGGCAACAATTAATCCACGGTTTAAGTAATTGACAAATGATTACATGTTTGATATATGGCCAGGGTAGCAACAGCCCAGCGAGGAGGAGTCATGATAGAATCGTCTGGTCTGACATTTATATTTATCTTGGCTTATGCAAACACCCCATCCCTCTATCCGACGACATCCCCCACTCTTATAACCAGGCCAATTGTCAGCCATCTGCGTCATGGAACTTGTTGCTGCTGTTTGCTGCTGCTGCTTTTGTGTAACCCGGAGATCTCCTATTCCATGCTGCTTCCATTCACACACACTTACACAGGAGTGACAGTTGCGCAAAAGCGTATTCACATCCGTATCCAAGTGTCCGTGCATGTCCCAGCTGAGCCTTTCAACGCTGACGCCTTCTGATGCGTTGCCGTCCATTTGTGTGATTAGTTCTGGTCTCTTCTTTTGGGGGCCACACAATGCAGGAGCACGAGTTGTGTCGCATCAAGGACACGTTGTATAAGAGCTACAACGCCACAGGTAGGATGATGATGATGCTGCTGCTGCTGCTGCTGCTAGGCAAAGGCTACGCCCACACCTTACACTTGGAGGTGTATGGGAGGCCTCCGCCTGAGTGCATTACTCAACCCGCTCTGACTCTGGCATATGAGTGCCGTGCCGTAATGGTCGCATTTATCATGGGTCGCGACATTAGCGGCCGAAGCACACAATAAACAACTGCAGCAGCATCCAGTTGCCACTTTCCCTGGCTTACATTTAACTTTTCCCCGTTTTAAAGAATAACCTTTGCCCTAGGCACAACGGGGGTCTACCCATAAATTTATGCGCGCACACAGTCTTAGCGCGTCAATGTGAATCCACATGAAGATGATGATTTATTCTAAATAGAAAAAAAATATATTTCATACTTGCAGGTTCCTGCCTGGAATACGGACATTCCTGTTGGGGAGGTAAGTTTTTCACTGAGAAATATTCCATGGATTTTCTTTAACATTTTGTGGCTGTTTCTTTGCTCAGCTCACGGCAAGCGTTCCGGTGGCAAGGCAGCAGTTGCTGCAGCCAAGGTAAGCTGCGATGCTGTGCATGATGCGTGTATTTCCTTACTCCTTCTGTTTCCCCAGACTGTCGGCAATCCTCTGGCGGTGGAAACTCTGGCTGAGCAGCTCTATAACAACAACCACAACAACAACAACAACCCTGAAGACACCGATGACGACGCCAACACCAACAACATCAGCCTGAACAACATGCCCTCGAGAGTCGCTGCTTTGCCTGCACAAAGTGGCGACAACGAGGAACGGAATAGGAACCATCGCAGTCATGAGGCCAACGATCTGAAGTGGACGCAACTGATGAGGCAACAGCATCGATATCAACTGCGGCAGCAGCAGCAGGAGCAGTCACGACGCAGTCACGCAGCCGGTGGCAGAGGCGGCGGACAGTACGATGCAGCCGCTGAGAGTTGGCGCAAATTGCAGCAGGCCCTCATAATGGCCCAAGCCCAAGCCCAGGTCGAGGCTGAGGCTGAGGGAGAGGACGAGGCTGAGCAGCAGCAGCAGCAACAGACTCTCAGCGAACTCTATGAACTCAAGAAGTGAACATTGCCCCTCCCCAGGCGTATACTTAATTAAATTGCCAAAACTATGCGGAAAAGCGACTAAGCAAAAACAAAGAACAAAACAGAAGATGAAACGATATTTATTGCACCACCATCATCATTGCATGTTGGCCAGCAATTAAGAATAAATTGCAAATAATTAAACAGATCATATCGGGAGAGAGAGAGAGAGCGCGAGAGCAGATCAGGTTAATTGGGGGGGGAGGAGTGTTCCATTTTATTGAATTCAAAATGTAAATGAAACCTTTGCGTAGAATTTGTTGTTGTTGGTTTTTATTATTACATACATACATACATGCATGCATATACACATACATATATATGTAGAACACACCTCACAACTGATCGAACAGATCAGTGGGCGGGTGGGGGGTTTGGGTTACTCTTCAGGCACAATATTGCGTCACTGGCTGGATGCCGCAATATTGGCACACACATCAAGAACTTTGCTTTGCTTTCATTCACTTAACCGTACTTAATCCCTAACTTACTATGATATGCAAATATGCAGATTTTAAGAGATTCAACCTTAATAAACGCTAACATCGCTTAACAATCTCTTTGATCTCTGTCTAGGCTTTGATTTTGGCGGGTATCTGGAAGCAGGCCGCATCGCCCTGCTTGTCGCCTAGTCCCCAGTGGATCTCCAGGCTGACGGTGGGGTAAAGGGGCAGAATCTTGAAGCTATTTTTGTAGGTGTAGTTCTGGCCGGCCTTCAGCGGACAGCCCACATGTTTCTCGCCAGCCTCGTCGTAGATATGCGGACAGGCACTGGTGCCGTAGTAGCCGGGGAAGGGCAGTGGCACATCCAAAATGATGCCCTGTATGTCCGAGGTGAGCTCCTGGAAGTCGCGCTCTGGCCGAATTTTCATCATAATGCTGGCCTCCGTGTTGCGCTTCAGTATGCACCGGCTCTTGGGACAATTGGAGATGGACACATCACTGGAACTCAGGGCCTTGGACTTGGCTGTGGGAATCACCAGAGATTTAATGCCTACACTCCAAAGTTTACTCTCCGTTTTTACTCACATTTCGGGCAGGGCCTGACCTCAGTGGCTGTCGAGCATCCCAGCAGGGCGGCGCAGATCAAAAACAGTCCAGAGTTGAGCTTCATTTTGCTGCTTCTGCTGTCGTTGGTCGTTGTGCGAGTACTTTTACTTGTGGCTAATTGTAGGAGAAGTGATATGGATTTAACGATAGGTCGCTAATTGCTGGTCAACTACTCTGGCTATGGCCGGGCCTCGAGAGCTTTGGCTTGGCTTGGCTTGTTATCAAGCTCGAGTCGAGGCCAAAACCGGTTGCACTCGTCTCGAAAGATCGACCTTGACTTAAAACTTAAAGCACACACGAAAATCATGCAAACAAACTGCAAAATCAAAAGGCAATTACACCTGACAACACAAGTCAAATGGGGTGGGAGGAGGGGAGAGATCTGTCAGTTCAGAAGATGCCATTCCACAGACTGATTGGCACTTTAATTCTTGTGGGACTGTAACCATTATTTGGTTCACTTTCTTGCTTTTTTAACCCTATCCATTTGTATTTTTCTGCTGCCTCCAGCTAATTGAATAATTTACCAATTTCCACAGCAATTGTCGTCAATTTGAGTTGTTGGCTTGACTTTTTACACGGAGCTACGGAGCTTGTACTTCCAGTGCGACTGACGGCGATCGGCAACTGAAACCTGAGCCGCATCGCATGTGCCGTATATATAGAAAGATAACCTCAGACCTGACTGACTGACTCTGTGTATCTGTTTTTGTTTCTGTTTCTGTGTGTCTCTGCCTCTGGCTCTGTCCTATGACTCACAAGCTTAATTTTCTTGCCCTGCCTGGCATGCCAAGCATCTGATTATATCAAGAAACGCCGACGGAGTAACCAATTCTTGAATTCTGTGTGCGTTGAAAGGTTTTCCCAATGAAAAGTGAAATCAATGCATTGCCAAACGAGTTTGGAAAGCAGCTCAAATCAGTCGCCACTGATCGATATCCAAGTCTGTAGATAGAGACCCCATCCTAGGGCATATATTACAACACAGAGCCGACCCTACAGATGCCCTACCTAAGGCCAACAAAGGTGCGATGTCCACAGACAGGTTAATTGAGTAAGTCTCTCTCCCATAAAGTCTCAAGAGGCCCGTGTGGAAAATGTTGCCAATCATTTCTGTTTGGCTTAGACACATTCGATGCTTAAAATGCAATTTGCATTCACACATCTATGGCAGATTATATCATAAACAAGCTAAAAATGGGATAGGAACTAATCCCACGCGGCCCGGCCCCATCGATCGCTCTTCTCATTGGTTATGCGGCACGGCACCCGCACCCGACTCGCAACGCTGACTTGTGCAAAAAGCGTTTCAGTTTCAATTTAGTTAAACTGTTTAAGAATTAGCAGCGCGTTCTCCTGCCTTTCTTTGTGTGTTGTCAGTCAGGAAGTTGACGAGCTTATGACGTGCCCACTTCTGAGACGATCGTCACTCCAGCGCCCAATTAGCATTTCTCATTTAGAAAGTTGGACCACACACGAAACTGAGAACTTGGGTTCGACTTACAGCTGGGGCAGGGGAATGGCAGGCGTTTGTTACGGCTGCGGTTTGTTAACGGTTTGATTTCGGGTTAGCCGATCTTGTGACTGCAGCGAACGGGGCTTGAAATGCAACTGACAAAAAACCGAAAGCTGTGGCCAAATGGATGGATCGGCCCCAGCCGGTTTGTCTTTACACAACATTTCAGTTTCCTATTCGAGTGCAAGAGAATTGAAAGTTTCCGGTCTTTTGTTGCACTCTCGTGAACAGCACTAGCATAGATATACATGTACATATGTATGTATGTAGGTGTGTGTGCGGTCAACGTTTAATCAGCAACCAAAACTTGAGCCTGAACTGAGAGGAAAACGGTGATGATTTACAAAATGTTGAACTGCGTTGTAAGTATTTGTTGACGCTGCCGCCTCGCATACGGAATCAGCGGGAGCTGGAAGTGGCTCCCACTCAATGTGAGGAAGACAGAATGGGGAAATGATATTTGTTTGCTGTTCCACTCGGAAATGTATGAGTACGTATGTTCATCCCATGGTTGATGCTCGAATGGGTGTGGCAGAGGGGATGGGCTGACACTTCGAACTTCAAAATGGATTCCAATTTTGGATGAAGTCCCGAGAGTTCTGTTCCGGTATCCGATGGTGATACAAATCCTAACTTTGGTCGTCACACATTAACCAATATGCTACGATGTTGCGGAGCATTGTTGCGGATTTAGCGATTTCCATTAGTTCCATTTCTTGCCGCCAATTTAATACTGGCTCCATGACGATTTTCTTTGGAACTATGGCGGCGCAGTGGCGCTGCATGTGGTCATAGTTTGAACTACACTATCAGGATTCAGACCGGCCACCTTCTGTCAGAATGTTATAATATTATTTCTGACAAAAGCTCGCCGCCATGGTGTAACATAACATGTTAACAAAATATATTACGTTGTCACCTCGTTATGTTATGGTGTAACATAACATGTTAACATAATATGTTATGGTTTCGCCCTGTTATGTTATGGTGTGGTGTGGCCAACCTTGCTCGACGACGATGGCGCGAAAATTGTTTGAATTTCGAATCGGAAAGCGATAATAATATAAACATATAAAATATAAATAAATGACTAAAAAATATAAACAGTAATATGCTCACCTTACTTTCTCTAGAACTTGTTCTCTCCGAGCAGATCCACTGCTCCTACAAGCCGGGTTGTATAAGTTGGTTCTCCTATGTGACTTGCGAAATTTATAATATTCCCAGAAAATATTTTTATAACAAAATGCTTCCCATGCCCATGTCTTCAATTCTTTCAACTGCCCCAATATATCTCTTGACTTACAAAAAATTCCCTAAAATGCAGGTGCATGTGAATCCCAACAAAAAAGGAGCAACAAGTTGGCGGTGCATGGGATAAGTTCAGGGCCCTCGTAACGAATATACAAAAGTAAATCACAAACGGGAGCTGGGCTCCAAGCGGGGATTTTCTAGCTGATAAGACAGATAGAATATCGATGCCGAGGTGATCCCCCCCTCGTACGTATTCGCGATTGCTATAAAAGCGTAAGGTGAGCCACAATCAGGCATCAGTCAGCCACAGCCAACACAACTCAAACCAAACACAACATGCAGAAGGGAAGCATTCTAATTGTGGCACTTGTTGCTCTGGGAGCCATAGCCGAGGCAATGCCTAATTACCAAACAGTGCCCTACACCCCACCGCCGACCCCACCACCACGCTGGCGGTTCCGCCGCCAGGTTTTGGGCGGTTCATTGGCCTCAAATCCGGCCGGGGGCGCCGATGCCCGTATGGATCTAACCAAGGCATTTGGCACTCCCGATCACAATGCGGTGGTTCAGGCGTTTGCAGCTGGAAACACCCAATCTGGGTCCAGCCACCGTTGGCGGAACTGCGGCCTACAATAAGTAAGTGGATCACAAGCAACATCCGACAGACGGGCGGAGTCTAACGAGCTTCTCCTCTTTTCTCACAGCCATGGCCATGGTGCCTCTGTGACCAGGACCCACACTCCCGGCGTGAAGGACGCCTTCCAGCAGGAGGTGCATGCCAATCTCTTCAACGACGGCGTACACAATCTCGATGCCAAGGCGTTTGCCTCGCAGAACAAGCTGGCCAACGGCTTCGAGTTCCAACGCAATGGCGCCGCTCTCGACTACTCCCACATCAATGGTCATGGTGCCAGTGTGACGCACAGCAATTTCCCCGGCATCGGTCGTCAGTTGGGCGCAGAGGCTCGTGCCAATCTCTGGTCCTCGGCCGATCGCAACACGCACATCGATCTGACTGGAACGGCCAACAAGTGGATGAGTGGCCCATTCTCCAATCAAAGGACAGACTTTGGCGCTGGTCTGGGTCTAACCCATCGTTTCGGTGGTTAAAGCTGCCTTTAAATTTATTTTATTTATTGTTATTTATGGAAAGAATAAAATGTAGAAAATTTTACCAGAATTCCAATGACATATACATTCAATGTGCAGCCTGCAGCTGAAAAGTGGCTTGAGAATATGATGAGCATTATATTTATAATACTCAGATCAATATTTCTGTTGATATATTGAATCCCAACAGACTTTCTTCCGCTGTGGACAAACCAATGAATGTTCGTTTGTTTGTTTCTTAAATTGAATCATCGATTTATTCATCTTCACTCCGTTTTTGCATTTGTTTTAAATAGTATGAACTACATTTGAATTGTACAATCTAGTTATTAATTAACATTTAGCCCATAAAAGTACACAATGAGGCGCAAGTATGTGTTTAATGTTTTCTGCTTATGCATTTGCTTCTATTATTTTTTTTGGATATTGATGTGATTTGCTTCTTTGCCAGGCAACATTTACATTTACTAATTTACTTATTTTGAAATTTCGTGAATTACATTCAATGTGGATTTTAGTTGTTATTGTTTGCTTTCGTTTCGTTTTTGCTCTTTTATTAACGTGTGACAGCTACATATGTATGTATAGGTTGGTGTATGTGTATTCATTTAACAAAAGGTGAATAGCGCATTCTTCGGGGGGGTAGGTAGGTGTAGGTTATGGTAGAGCTACTAACTAACCAGAGAACATTTTACGTATTCCATTGCGAGTCTTAAGCATAATTTTTACACAAGTTTTCTTTCATTCATTAAGGGTTTCGTTTGCTGTCTCTCTCTAGAAAAAATATACAATTACAATTAGATTTTCAATTAAATACATTAATTAAGCATAAATTATTACATAATTGTGCTAATTTCTTTCGGTTTCTATTTTCTGTTTATGCTTCTTGTTATTTTTTTACCATCCTTTCATTTTTTTTTTTTGCATAGCTTTTACTGTTGTTTTCTTGACGAATATTTCCCCTTTTTAGTGGTATTTTTTTTTCTTCGAACATTTAGTGTACGTTTCACGTTTGTTTATAATTATTATTATAGTTTGTTGGTTGCATTACGTCAAGGTTATTAAAATTAATATGTACAAAGTTGAACTTATTGACTAACCATATTTGTTATTTTCAATTCTATTTCTTCCGTTTATTTTTCCTTCATTAGTGCTGACTTTTCACCGGCTCTCAAGGCTCACAAGGAAGTGAGGTTGTTTTTACCATTTCCTTTCCTTTCTATTTTTTCCATTCATTCCATTTTCATTCCTTTATTTGCAGCAGAGAATTTCACTAATTGTAGCATCTAATTATTGGTTATTATTGGTATTATTTGTATGCTTCGTTTCTATGTGTAATGCATATATACTCGTATATATTTTTGTAATTATATGTCTATGTATATGTACTGTACTGTACTGTATGTATGTTAGATTAGAAGCGACCAGATTTATCCTGAAACGAGAAAAAATAAGAGAAAACTTTATTAGAATTTATACTTTTATCAAATGAGTCGCAGTCTCACAGTAGAGGAGTATCTCAGTGCCACATCAACACTTCATAAAAGGACAATCAGCATGTCCTAAAAATGACCAAGCCCATCCTTATCCTAGAGGCTAATTTATTCAGATTTTGTCAGAGTTGGGAATGGGGGAAAGGACCACTTGACACTTGGCAGCCTCTTGTTAACTTGTCGCCTGCCTAGCCATCAGAAATATTCATAAGCAATGCGATGAGGGGAGATAATAGGGAGAAAGAAACGGCCTCAACTATGGCAATTTTTATGCAAATTTCACAGCCCCGCACCGCACAGAAAAAAAGGCACAAAAACTACCAACGCCTGAAAATTATGCCATAAAAACGAGAGCACTAAACATTTAAAATAAGATTTCGCGCTGCTCTCGGGTTTGGCTAGGCACTTGGGCTCATAACCAATAAATTGCCTTTGGTGGCAAATTGTTGTCACTCCGAGAGGTTGGGGCACAAAACATAAAAATCAAAGCTCGTCCTCGTTTGTCGTCGTCGCTTATCGCTGACAATTTTATTAGTTACAGCTTTAAATTATATTCTGTATGTAGATCACGCGCAATTTTTATGACCTGCAATTGAATTTTATGCGGCCCTTAAGCTTCGGGCAGAGAACGAGAACGCAAAAGAGTGTCACCGAGACAGAAAGAGAGAGAGAGACAGGGCACAGTGTGAACAGAAAACATTGCCTACTTATGTGCGCTTTATGGCCAATACCCACCGCCGCACCCCCTTGGGGGCATTAAATTTGTGTGTGTGTGTGTGTCTGAGTGTGGCAGGGTGGGAGTGAGTGCCTTGGCCTGTGATTAGTTGCCACGCCCCCGGCATATTTGCAACGTCTTTCACGGACCGATTGGCAAGGCGGGTAAGGCACCTGCAGCTGTCTTTACCTTTACCCATGCCGTGTGGCTTATATCCTTCGTGCCACACCACTATGGTCCCGGCCAGGCACCGGGACCCAAGGGGGCGGGGGAAATTAGGGGACGGGAGGGGGGTGGTAGCAGCCACAGCCCACCGGGAGTAGCCAATAGACACCGGTTGTGGTGGGGAGCGGCCGGACCGGCACCGGGGGCGGAAAAAACAACATAAAGGGGCACCAAGCCGGGCCAGCACACCAGCTACCAGCTACCTTCCGTCTTGCAGTTTATTACAAAACGCGTTGCCTGTTTGCTTTATTACTTATGGCGTGCGGTGTGCGTGTGTGTGTGCTCCTTCCTGTCACGTCATTATCCTTTGTCCATGCAACAAGTGTTTAAATCGCTCGCAGAGCTTTATTTGCTCGAGTGTGCGTTTGTGCCAGCGATTGTGTGTAGGTCTCTACTTCTGAGTCCTTAAGGACCTTAAGCAGCTTGTACACAAGCCGTTTTTCCGTTTACCCCGTAACCCTGTCGCTGTCCCTGCTTCCTTTGGCTTTGTTTTCCTTCCTTTAGCGAGTGCCAAGCCCCGGACTAGAGGACCGGAGGACCGGAGTACCGAAGCGACCTCCGAATCGTGTCGAGTTAAGTGAGTGTAAATGCGGTTTGGTTGCCACAAGGAACCCCAGCACTCTCATGCCCCTGCGGCAGGTCCTTGTGCTGTCTGTCTGTGTCTGTGTGTGTGTGCGTCTGTGCCCTCGCTTATCATTGTTACCGCTGGCTGGCAGCTTAAATGTTATTAAATTGCTGACAATTTGTATTATGAAGTCGCGAAGCGCAACTCGCTGACAAATTGATTTCCACTCCCGTTTGCCGTTTTCCGTTTCCCGTTTCGCCATCCGGGATAATGAAATTTTCATTTGAATGCCAATGCGGTGTGTGTGTGTGTGTGTGGTGGCAGTGTCCTTTTGCTCCACCTTCTCTCTTGCCCTACAATTTCCCTCTACCATTTTCGTGCACTTGAACAATTAGTTGTGACACTTTTGCGGCGCCAAACCTGTCCAAAGTTTGTCAAACAATCTGCGGGGATTAGGTGGGCCCCGCCGGACACATCCCGTCGCTAATTCAATTTATTCATCCGCCGCACCCGCTGGGAATTTATTAATGATGCACTGGCATTAAAATTTAATCAAATGTGAGGCTGGGCAGGAAAGAAAGTTTCTGCTCTTTGAATTATTCAGCGAGTTGCGGACAAGTTTCAACACCTAAACGAAAGCTGCGGCTGTCCTGGTCCTGCCCCTGGAATGGTTGCCTAGGCATAGTCCAGGTCTGGGTCTGGGTTTGGGTTTGGGTCTGGGTTTGGGTTCTGATCCCCTCTGATAGGCCACAGGACAATGAAGCCGCACATTTTTTTTCCTGCCCCAATTCCCATTTTCCGCCAGATTTTTTTCCAATTTTTTTTTTTTGTTTCCTTCTTTGTCAACTAATAAATTGCCTGAAAATGCTTTTGTGTTTCACGCGCGGTTTCACCAGGGCAACCAACCTGCGCCTCCTTCTCATTTTGTATAGCTTGAGATGGGGGCATGCCCCACGGTGGCACGGTGGCACGATGGCATGGTGGCACAGCACAGCTGCAGCCATAATTTGAGTGTGACTTTATTATGTGTCAAGTCAGTCAATCTGCGGACGATGATGTGATTTCCTCCAGCCACCGCTTCACGAGTTTACAGCGCTGCCTCAGCGCCTTTTATAGACAGGACTCCCAGGGCTGTCGCCCAGATGTTGCGGCAACTTATTGAGTGGCAGGGGCATGTGGCACGATGTGTCGCTGCTGGCTAATAAGCCGCGACTTCTGCTTAAAGTTACATGATTTCTTTTTTTTTTTATTAAATATGCAACAGCCTCTCGCTCGTTCTTCGGCTTCTTTAAGGCATTTGCATAATAAGAATAGAATTTCCCACCCCCCCTCCTGTCACTCGCCGCTGAATTATGAAAAGTGAAAGATATGGAAATGGCAATGGAAATCCGCTCATCCTCATCTGCTGATGCAATTCAAATTATTCACTCAAATGAAGCGAAAGACCAGACCCAGACCAGAGCAGACCCCACGCCAAACACAAAAGTTTGCACTTGGCATAAATTTTCGAAATCCTCTCTGCCTCCGAATGGAATCTTATTTTATTAGCACGTCATGCGATTGGCGCCAAAACTTGACAAAGTTACAACTTTCTTCACTAACAACTTGGTCTTCTGCAAACCATTTACCATTTCTTTCTCTCGGCATTTCTTTCTTTTTTTTTTTTTTTTTTTGCTGTTTTCTAATTGTTGTCTTACAGCAGAACTTAATGTGGAATTCAATTTGTGTGGGTGTGCGGACAGGACAAAGGTTTTTGTTTCCTCCCCTTCCCTTCTCTGAGCAGTTTTTTGCTTAAGAAAGTTTGCCACAAAACAAAAATGCCCAGTGACAGTTACCAGTGCGACATTGAGACAAAAAAAAAAGCAGAAGTGGAAGCGAAAGCCAAGCTGGAGGAATGTTAATCAGAGCTGAGCATAATTGAGCGGACAGGGAAACCTGAGGATGTATTGTACATTAAAAGCCATAAGGACTGTGAGAGTGATACGATATCGATCACAGTTTTGCTTTAGAGACAACTAATGGTTAGAGTAAGTCAGAGTGAAAACAGATTCAAGTATTGAAGTACCTTTATGAGAGAGTTCTCACATAAGACATAACACTTTTTCTTGGTAGAAGGTAACTATTTATATTGCCTTATCAGTAATCTTCCAATTTATCTATTTTCAAGTTACTCTTTGGACTCTAAAGCTGAGCACTAGCATAGACACAACAAGCACACAATACCTTCCAAATCAAAGTAAATAAGTATCAAAATCTATATAAATTAAGTCTCTACTAATTTTTATTCTAAAGCTCATCAATCCGCGCGCACTTGACACTTTCAATCCTCAACTATCAAAGCATTTCAATTTTAAATCTCAACCATTAGCTACGTCCGCTCACACCAGCTGGTAAGTCTGTGTAATTTTTCAATATTAGCAGCGTTTAACGCGCTTGATTTGACTTGCACCCACACCGTACACATCCTACAGCACCAGCACCCCATCAAACCCAACCATCCACCCTCTGTCTCTTCAGGTGGGCAGCGACGTAACAGTAGCCACGGGGCGGTGGGGGCAGTCAAATATCAGTGGCATGCATAAGTCACCCTAAGGACGTAATTAATTTTTCAGCATTTGCTTTTCGACTGCTTGCCCCTGGAGTTGCCTTGACTAATTTGCGCCGTGGTTTGCATGAGAAGAGATGCCTGGTGCTGCCTTCGGGGGTTTTCTCCCTCTCGACTTGGGACACGGAATTGGGAGTCAAATTAGCGCGACTTGTGGAAGGACACTTGCCTGCCCACGGCCCACGGACAACCGTCCACATTCACGTATACGTATCCATGCATCGTATCGTCGTTCGTCCTTCGCCCGTTTCGTTCGAAAAGTGGCCTCTTACATATTTTATGGCTTAGGTAAATTGACTTAATTTGCTATAATTTGAGTGAGCTTTGAGTGAGGGGCAGACACATCACATCACATCACAGCACATGCCATGCCCCAGCCACACCACACTTTAAAATCGCTCAAATTGAAAAGGACTTAAAGCGATTCCCCTCCATTCTACCTACTCCTGACAATGTATTATGATAATTGAACGCGTGTAATTGCCCTCAAATAGCGGCAGACAAACACACAAAAAAACAAACAAAAAAAAAACATAATAAGACTCGAAGGAAAAAAAAAGGAAATCCACGAAATAAAATGTCCATAAAAGATTCATGGGAAGTGAATCATGAAATGAATTCAAGTGAAGACGATTTCTATATAAAACAGGACACACAGCAAAGTCGCAGTGCAAAACTAAGAGCAATCAGAAAAGGAAAAATCTTTAAGAATATTTTTGGGTGTAGGAGGGCTAGAGGGGTGGATGGTTGGTCTCTTGTACTTTTTTCTTTACATATTCATAAAATGTGCCGTGAAATGACATTATTAACATAATTTATGCTGTCACATTGAATGGCTTTTAGGGCTGATGGAAATTGAAAGCGACTTCCCCTCCGTTCACTCGCTCTCATTGCGCGCTCGTTTCGTTACTCACTTTGTAAACTTTTTAGTGGCGGTCCAGCTGCGGCGACTCCTCCTCCTGCCTCTCCTTTCTGCTTTCTGCTTTCTGCTTCCTGCTTTCTCTTGCATCCTGATTTCTACTGCTTGTTGCTTACTGCTCACTGATCCTGCAGCTGCTCCGTAACCATTTATGTTTCAGTTTCCGTTTCCCATCTGCGGTGCTTAAAAAACTTTACACTATTGTCCTTAGAATAAGCGTTTTAAAGCGTTCCATTGGCAACACACACACACGCACATGCACGCATACACAAACAACACCCACAACATACAACGGATATAGCCTATCGATCAATCATCGTTTCATCCATCGATGAAGCATCTCTAATCCTCTTCCATCGATCGATTGAATCAATCCTAATGCACCCACGAGGGCGGAGAGGTCACCACACTGGGCTGCGAGTACTGTACCCGTGCGGCATTCAGATTTGTTGTTGCCGTCTGTGTGGCCAAGTCGAGGCTGCTGTTGCTGCTGCTGCTGTTATTATTATTATTGTTGTTGTTGCTCAGCAGCAACTGTTGCTGGTGCTGATGGTGTTGCTGCTGCTGCTGCTGTTGGAGATGCTGCTGCTGTTGCTGTTGCTGCTGTTGCAACTGTGCCTGCAACTGATTCAGCTGCACTGCGGCACTGAGACTGCTGCTGGACAAGGTGGTGGTGGAGCCGCTCAGGTTGCTGCTGCTGCTCATCGTTGTACTATTGTTCACCAGGCTCACCAACGGAGCATTCGTGCTGACACTGGCCAGGGGTATATTGATGTCCAGCAGGCCATCGTAGCTCATTTCCTGTTGCAGCAGCTGTAAGGGGTAAAGCAGCATCGTGTGAGTATATATCTATAATTAATAAGATCGTATCCTCTCACTTACCTCCTCTACGTTGCACTCCAGATTCCCCACCGGGAAGTTCTCCAAATTAAATTCGTCTATGGGCTGCCCCTCATTGTTGAGCACCTCCAGGCATTGTCCTATCAAAGTAGAGGCGCAGTTATTATCTATGGCATTTGACATCAACATTTGGCAGTTAGAAGAAGATTTTGGGAGAAAGCAGGATAGGATATAGATAACAGAGTTTCACATAGAGGTCACATTGTTGCCGTTGTTGCTCACCTTCAAATTCCACTTTCAGCTGTTGCTGCTGCTGTTGTTGCTGTTGCTGCTGCTGCTGCTGTTGGACGAGCAGATCCGAGGAGCCATCTAGCACCACATTGCTGTAGGTGTTGAGCGAATCCGAGGAGGGCTCGCTATTGGGATACGCGGGCGACATTGTGGTGGTGACTGAATTGGGCGAGAGACCCTGTTCCAAAAAAGAGGCAAACAGATGGATGATTAGTTAGAATGGCAACTAAAGTATGTAGCTAATTATAATCAGTACCCATTAAATCTCCGTCTGATTCTTTAAAAATCGATTCTATCAGAGAAATAAAAGAATACTTGATACTGAATACTCGTACTTGCTTAGATCTGCTAATTGATTCAATAAAAAAGTTTTGAAGTCGTTTTTATTCCTATTATATACAAATCCATGGGACATAAGTGCATTTAAATTTTTAAATCCATTAAAACACAGTGATTAGAACTATTGATCACAAATATGGCATAATTAAGGTTGTAATTTCAGTAAAATATTCTTAAAAGTCGCGTTTTAATAGTCAGAATTTAATTTAGCTAGAGCTTGTTGATGCATAAATTTGATAGCTTCCCCTGTTAATTCTCTATTTTATACAGAAGAATGAAGCCACCAGAATCAGAATCAGATGACAGCTCTGTGGATTAACTAAAGTGTAATCCAATGAACAAACAAATGGATGCAATACTTGGATCAAATAGTCGTAATCGCAGCAAACTCTGATTGAATCAAATACGAGCAGTTGTAAGTACTCTTCTGTTCGAATAACTCACTCCGAATGATGATGATTGATTCCATTGAAATAGTAGTAGATTGTTGGTACTTACGTCCCGCGCATTGTGCAGGCAGCTGCAGTTGAGTGATCGGTGCAGCAGGCACTGCGACTGCGACTGTGGCTGCAGCGTCTGGTAGCCGACGGTGGCGGGGCCGTTCAGCGTGTAGGATGGCTGCTGCTGTTGTTGCTGCTGGAGCTGCGGGGGCTGGTATGGCGGCGGTGGTGGCTGTGATGGGAGGCCCGAAGCGGCGCTGAACCTGCTCCAGCCGTACGATCGTTGGGTGGCAAGAACGAGAAGAGAAGTTGACTTTATAGACATGTTTTTTTATAGATCGAATATCGGATATCAAATGGGAATCGGCAAGACATGCAAGTGTACGTTTTGTGGCATGCAACAACCAACGCAAAACAAACAACATAAGAGTGTGTGTGTGTTTTGGGGTGGAGTGGGGTTACATGGGGCGACAACACACACATAATGGAAACCAAAGGAAACACTCTCAACACTCATCGAGAACTGACCCTTGCTGCTGCTGCTGCTGCTGTTGCTGCTGCTGCTGCTGTTGTTGCTGTTGCTGCTGCTGTTGGGTGCACAGTGTCAGCTCGTCCGCTATGGAGCCCGTGAGCTCCTCGAGGGCCTGGGCATGGGCCTGTGTCATCGTCGTATTCTGGTAGTCACCCGGAAAGCCCCAGAGATCCTGGGGCTCGAGATCCTGTGCTCGTATGGGACTAAGGCGTCCGCAGGAACTGGCATTCGATGAGGCGCGCTGACGGAAATCAGGCGACAATTGGAACCCGCCGCCGCTTCAATATCGCACACAAAAACGAAGAAGAAAAAAAAAAACGGAAAGAAAAAACAAAATAGAAAAAATTGGCGGATAAATTATAAGAATAAATTCAACAAATCAACAACAAATCAAAGGACGAAACTTATAGACAAGACTAGGAGACGGACGGAGGACGGACGAGGTAAAATGAGATCCAAAAAAGGCTCAAAATATTCTACAAATCAATCGCACAATAGAAGCTCAAGCGCTGATTGTTGAATAAACTTCTAGCTGATCATGCTCTAAAAGCGATACGTACTAAGAGTTATGATATTTGTATATGTAGGTACTAATTTAACTTAATTAAATCTACATTATGCAATAGAATTATCATGCTTAAATTTGCCTAAAAATTATATTTAATTGGATATTACTAGGGCTAATAGTGTTATAAAAATTGGTTGAATATAGTGTGTATACGAATATATGGAAACGGAACCCTCTCTTTCAATTATTTCAGTTGTACATACATATGTATGTGCTTACAGTTTGTTTGAATCAAGAATCGAATCGTGATTCATAACACTTTTTTGCACAATCTTCTGTGTCAGTGGGGAAGCGTGCTGATATTCCCATTCTCGTGCGACTTGAACACTTATTCATCGCGTGTGAGACAATGTGAATGTAATAATAGGCTACCATCAAAGTGGTTCGATCAGCTTGCACAATAATTCATCGATTAGCAGGCGGCACACGTACAAAAGGTATCGATAATTTTTAAATCAATGTAATCGAAGAAAGAAAACGATCAGCAATGTGACTCCGATACTCTGATCGTGATAAATATTGAAATTTATAAATATCAGATAAATCGCCTCATCATCAAACGTTATTATATATTGGCCGTTGGAAGGGAAGGAAAGCCGGTTTTTCGTCGATAAATATATCGATAAATAGCGATAAAAATCTTGTAAAAATATAAACAGAATGACCTTGAAGAGGAAACCTTCTTCTGTGAAGAGTACAGAGTAAAAAACATTTTTATTGATTGAATTGAATTTTATATTTTAAATTTTGAGGTGATTTAACATTGAATTTGGATTCTTAAATTGTGGCCCAAAATAAGGACCTAATAATAGGGACATAATCTTTTATAGACTTTCAGTTTTCCCTTCAGTAGTCCGGAGTCCTGAGGCTTCGGCAACAGGTTGGAGGTCGAAGGTCCTTGAATACTGTGTTTGCTGCAATTGCGGAAGCTATAATTATGCCATATCTTTCAGAAAGATCTTAGGTATTCAGATTCAGGTATCTCTGCCCGTTTTGCCAAACTTAGTAAACCAACTAAATACCAAACTCTAATCGTAGGATCTACTAGCTACATAACTAAGCAACTAACTAATGATCAACGCAGAGGGAGTATCTTAAATGAAATTGATAGTTACCTGTGCAGTGGACTCTCCGGAAAGTGATCCAATCCCTCGCTGACACTGCTACTTGGCGAGGGTGTGGCATCGTTGAGACCCACCACGCCGGCCTGCCGCAGGGCCTCTACTCGCTTCTTTGCCCGACCGCGACGCTTCTCGTAGCGCGACGTCTCCATGGAGGCGGCACGGCGACGCACCGATTTGCCCGGCTTGGCCTCCGGATTCAGCATCCACCAGGAGGACTTGCCGGTGCCCTCGTTCTGGACGCGCATGAAGCGATTGTGCAGCGACAGATTGTGCCGTATCGAGTTCTGTAACGAGCAGTAGAAATTGGAGTGAATTTTTTGTAGAGAAATATCTTTTGCAAAATTTGCAAATCCCCAAGACAGAAAGACGTAACGTAACGAAACGTTCTTTCGTTCGTTCGTTGAGCTGATGTAACAATTTGTAAGCAATTTCTATGACCCCCATACCCCCCCTACCCATACTTTCCCCAGGCTCTCTCTTCTCTCTCTCTCTCTGTGTTTGCTGCGTTTCCTTTTGCCGGTTTTGCCATTCAATTGTCTGTCGACATTTTTATGGTTTACAGGGCGCACACACACACACACACACTCACTCACACACGGACACGCATACCCTCCTCTAATTGGAAGACGTCTTCGTCTTCACTAGACCTCGTCGCCTGTCGACTGTAGTCGTCGTCGTCGTCGTCGTCGCCTGTCAATTCATATTTTCCAGCAATTGTCATAAATAACCGCGTGTAAGCAGCGTAATGACAGCAAATCGACATACGACTACACCCCAACCCCGATCCCAATTCCAATCCTCTAGCAATCTATAACTCTGTCTAGGTGCTGGGTACTGGTTACTGGTTGCTGGTTACTGGGTTGGGTCCAACAATTACATGTCATCGAGTGCAAAAAGTGTAAAAGGGAAATAAATAGAGAAGAAACAAATGGAATCAAACACGTTTAGTGTGGATTTGTCATCAGGCTGAACAAAAAAAAATAGATAGAAAAGTAAAAAAAAAGGAGAGCGAGGACGGGGACTAGCAGCATCAGGATCAGAATCAGGAAGGGAGTGCGTTGTGGCAACACAAACTAAATGGAGCATTACAAAACTAAACTAACTGTAAAGGCAACTTGCCACAGATTCCACCCACCCGCATAGACACCACCCCTGCCCTCAAACAGCCAGAACCCAAAAAAAAAAAGAAACGATTGCGACGCGTCGCGTCGCGAGGCGGCACATTGGCGCCATTTATCACCGTTGCCACAGGACATGTGAGTGGGTGAGTGGGTGTACACTGTACAGACGCCAAAACCTGTGCACAGACAATGCCCCCCGCACCCCCTCCGCAGACTTTTTCTAATACTTTTCATGGATCTGCTTTACTCCACAGATACTTTTTCCTATGAAAACTTTTACTTGGCGTCAGTCAGTGGCTGGGAGTCTCCTGTGTCCTGTGTCCCGCGTCCTGCGTGCGGAGTGTGTGTGTATGCGTCTCCTCCTGTAATGACATTTTCTTCTTTGGGGGTTTTCTCCAACTAATTTTACCCCCTTCGTCCATAAAGTTATCATTTTTATTTAAATGTTTAAGTGCCACCCCCCACCCCCCTCTGCAGTCTTTTTCCCCTTTTTCTCCTCCTTCCTCCAGTAAACATTTTCAAACATTTTCTTTTGGCAAACGTTCTGATTATGCTAATGGCCAGATTGTGGAATTATCCGAACCAACATCCGCCCAGAAACAGGATGTACATATATATAGACGTACTTGCTTGGGTGAGTAATGGGTATATATCTGTATCTGAGAATAAAGTTCTCAGTTCATACAACGTTTGGCAAGGGGTTAAATGAATGGAAAGGCAAAAGGTTATGTCATATTTCAGAGGGAGTAACAGGAGCTGCAGAACGACAATTGCAAAGCAATTTGAGGAAAAGTTTATGAAGAAGTTAGCAGTGTTTCCCATTTCACAGATATTTACATATTTTTATGTGAATAACTTTATGGGAATGCTGATGATATTGTATATATAGCAAAGCTACCGCTACATCTACTATAGGGCTACATTCAATGTAATTACCGTGTAATTTAAGGTTCAATTAAACCTCTAAGTTCCCCAAAAAACTTATCTATAATTCTTGTATACTTCTCGAGCACAAATGTAACAACTTATAATGCAAAATGGTGTTTTTACTTTGGTTTAAAGCAACACGATGGCCTTAAAGATCAGGCAGCAGGCAGAAAGGCACGCAGGCAGGCAGGCAGGCGCTTACACGCTCAAGGCCATAAAATCAAGGCAAAATGCAAACAAATGGCATTTATAATTTATGGCACACACTTCATTGAATATTCATAAACTTAAATCTGGCCAAAAAGAACAGAACAGCAGCAGAGAGAACCACATACACAATTCATCTAACTAATTGGGACTATTAAATCTAGCAAGAGAGAGTGAGAGAGAGATACGAGACACGAGAGAATTATGCGAGAGAGACTCCGGCGACAGCGACCACATGCCGGCCAGGCCTCCAAGGAGAGCAACCTCCTCCTCCATTCCCCTCTGAAGAAAGTCCTGTCGACACATTTGGTTACCAAGGAGCTGCATTATGAGAGTGTGTGCCTAGCCATCCAAAGGGAAGTACGATATACATATATAGGTCACCAGCCGACCCACCCACCACCCAACCATTTCGCATCCATGGCAAAAATACATACATACGTTCATACATATGTATGTACATTGTATGAATGCAAAGAAATCGCGGGGGCAAAAACTGCGACAAAACTGGGCTTCCATTGAATTTACTTTTAGCAGCAAATGAGCAAAAAAAAAATATATATGTGTATATCCAAGCAATGGAAATTTCATGCGAGTATTCCCCCCACCCATTCCATTCGTTGGAGTGTCGTCAAGGATATGCTTACGAGTAGATGTATCCTTATTGTTCCGTGTTCAATTAATGTGCAACGAGCGTGAATCACAATGGATTGCCCTGCCCTGCCCAATATCGCCCAATGGAAATCGATGCTTGGAAATCATAGTTAAAGTTCCTTCCCCCCAATTACAATTATTACAGCAACAACTTTTGGATTTATTGGCGGGGGGGCGGGGTTTCTGATTCATTTCTTTATAATTTATATGAGTAATTGTCAGAGAGATACGCAGACCAAGGGTAGAGAGAGGGAGGGACGGAGAGCAAGCCAAGCGGGGGAGAGAGCACTAAAATATATTAAATCTTCCAATCTCGTTCTTCCTCTTCCTTTGAGGGTGCCCCAGCGCCCGGGGGTTCCACTGTATCGCATGATACGCTGTCATCTTCCCTCAAATATGCATATTTCATTGGGCCATTCAGCCGCACAGAGTCTCACAGAGAAGCGGAACATAGCGCTTTCTGTGGGTGAATCGCGACATGTGGCGCTAACTGGGTCGCCCTCGTCATTGCGGCGCAAGTGGCTGTTGAAAGAGGGCAAGAGGGCGGGGGAGTGGCTAGACATGTACAAGGCAGAGAGATACATCAGAAGGTCTGGAAATCTGAAGTGTTTTCTTGTAGGTAAATTCTGCCAAAATAATGTTTGACTTTAAGCAGAATTTCTGAGGTTTTCATGCATTCAAAGTAAGAAATCTCCCAAGCCCAATTTTTCACAAATAATCTTTCCTTTTTTCAAAGGTCAAACTCTTAAATTTTGAGCACAAATTTAAATCCTTTCCGCTTATACATTTCAAGTCTAAACCTTTTCTTTTCAAAACAACAAAACTTCTACACGCAGCATTTCAAATGAATCGCGGTTGTTCGCGTTTCAAAAAATTCAACAAAAATAGGTACAAAATAATAGAAAAAAAAACCAACCGTTCATTGGACACCCAGATCTATATCGGTTTATGGTAAAAGGTTAACATCAGATGGGTGTAGTGGGGTGGGCAGGAGCGAGTGTAGTGTAGGGTTATCGGGAGAAAGAGCGGGAATCGCGCCAATCCAACGGCAAAACAGCTGCAGCGATTCTCACACACAAATCAAATGAAACCCCAAAGTACTCCAGTGGACTCGCAAATACAAACACACACACACACACACAACACTCTCGCAGCGGAAAAAAAGGAAAGATTATTCGCATTTAGATGTGAAATTGAGATATAAATTTTTGAAACGACACTCTCCATGGCTCCCACACCACCCTGCCCCGCTCTCTATGCAGTTAAGGGGGCAGAACAGGTAGAACGGCACAGCCCCTCACCATCCACGCCACTAGCACACCTCATTCATTCAGCTAATTGCTGGCATGCCACCGACTGGGCAGCCGTTGAAATTTAATACCCAAACGTAGTAGCAACCGCATTGAAAATGCGAATTGCAATTTGGACTGAGAGATACCCTACGAATAAGTGATATTCTTCTCAGATTGAAACGTTGTAGATAGATCCCTGCATTTCGAAGGGCTACAGTCACAAAATTTAGCAAATAGATATGCTGGAGAACATACAGACTTGATTGATATTCCACTGCTATTCGTAACATGTCTTATCAGATATTAATATATATTCATACAGACTCGACTCGAGCTCCTCTTCCCTCCTCTATTATCCCCATCATTCCATAAACCAAACACAAACACCAATATGCCCTTGAACTCCATAAACCAAAAAGTTAAAAAAATAAAAACACAAATTCAATGGCAGCAGCAGACCCGTAAGTTTGGTTTTAGATTCGATTTTTGTCATCGCATTTCAAGTCGAAAATTTAATTGTTTGAGCAAAACATTTTTTGTGCGGCTGGAACGGCTGTACGGCTTGGATGGCCAATTTGTAAACAGTCTCTGTTTCTGTTTCAGAGTTAGGTGCGGTGCGATGCCTCCAAAAGACTAAACAAATCGCAGAGAAGAGATGAGGATGAGAACTTATGTATGATGATGATGGTGTCTGGGATAAATGGTCTGTCCGGCTCGTGTGTCTGCAAATTCTGTTTACCGACAGCCTAATTAATTGTTTAAACAATTTCAATGTTTGCAGTCAAGATGGCAACAGATGAGATTCGATTGGATTCGACAATTGTTTACCCAAACGAACAATCGAAGAGCCGATCATTGACAGTTGCCATTAAATTGCAAATGAGTTGGAAATTTCAAAAAACCATTTGGAAACTTATCACGAAACAGTCGCTGCTTGATTGGATTCCGTATAATTTCTGGCGCGTGTGCAACTCAAAATCATCGAAAATTGATAGGAACTCAAGTAATTGATTAGATAATGACCCCAGACTACCAGATACCCCAGATAATGACCTACAACAAGCGAACATTCAATGGGTTTTT